TCTCATGTGCATCAGATAAAAAGTTTTTTTTTTTTAAATTTAAAACTGAGGAATGTATTTTTTAAGATACAAATTGAAGACTTTTTGGTGTAAGCCACACATTTTACAAACAAAAAGAAATGCTAATAGTTAAAACAAATATAAAATCAAACCACCAACTCATAGTTTTTAATAAAATATTATATAGCATCTTCATTTATTAACTTCTCTAACTGAATCATCAGAAAGCTATGATCTTCACCAGACATAAAATTCTTAGAGAAAACTTCTAAGTTTAAGGGTAAGTTGCTGCAACTGTTAAAACATTAGAGAAATTTAGCATTAAAAAATGATGCAAGCAATTATTCTGATAATTAACTTGACATCAACATATTTTTTTCACTTAGACACAAGAAACTCTAATTTCTATTTAATAGTTCATTATTTGAAAGATTTTATTGAAGCTCAAATCAATCACAAGTTGGGTACATTTTTCTCACAAATATTAAGCAAAAGTAAAACATGACATACTTTGAGAAATAATATAATTTACTAATTCAAAAAATATATAAATAGTCTACACAAGGCAATAATTCATTCAGAACAAATTCTCACATTTTTCTTAAGCATGATTTGAAATATATTATCCGCAATTTTCACTATGATTAGTTGAACCCTTTACGATACGTGGCAGCAAAATCAGCTCAATTCCTTTTCAGAAACATTATGCAAAGACAAAAAAAAAAAAAAAAAAACCTATGCAAAATTGTACTATAATTTCTTGCTACATATTTTCTTCAGTTGAATAATCAAGGAAAATTCAGTTTTATGATGCAGGGATACTATAAGCTAGAAGTTTGAGAAATATTAGGATTAACTCCAAGAGGTTTAAAAGACTATGAATTGGAATCTGTTATGATAAATTAAATAATTATATTGATTTTATTTGTGAAATAATGCATTATATATATATACACACACAGTCGGATCTGTATTTAACAAAGTCGTTAAATCCCGATAAAAAGTTCACCAAATTGAAAAATTCGTTAAATAGAAAAAGCACCATTTGAAGTACTTAAACAACACAATACAGGTCTTAAATTCACAAACACTAGACATAAAAATAGTAATTGATACACCTTTATCTTGTAAATTATTATCTACTATCGAATTGTTTAAAATGGTTTTATCATATGAAGATTTGGTGATTTCTTCATCTTCCTCACAATTTATTGCTGCATTGTTTTAATTTTTCACACTGTACAAAATATTCGATTCAGTTAATGTTTCTGTGGTTGCGGCTAAAGAATAATAAAATCATTAATCAGATCAGTACATTATCATTAATTTCATAGTTCTCTCTTAGCTGTACCCATATTTTTTAAAGATCTTCTAAAAGAGTGTCATCCTTACCCTCCACACTGACTAAGAATCCAGCTTTATCATTTCCCCCATAAAATGCGTTAACAAGTTTGAAATTTTTCGAAATATTTTGGGAAATAGGGAAAGTGGATCTTAAAGAAAGGTTAATAGAAAATTCAAAATTCACTACATTATTTGGAAGTTATTTTATGAAGAAATTTTCAAAATGTTCTTGGTTCTTCGAAGAAAAAAAAAATCGCAAAATAGAGAAATTTGCAAAATGGAAGTTCATTAAATTGAAGTCAGACTGTATAAGTATATACATGTACACACATACACATTAAAAAAAAAAAGTCAATTGAGCTGATTTTGCAATTAAAACTTCTAATTTATATACTAACAGGGTAATAGCAAACAATGCATATTAAATTGAGAGAAAAAAGTTATGGCATAAAATGTTAGGCTAGAGAAGAATAGTAAAATATAATTTATAATAATGCAATTTACATTTATAAGCAAAAACTTTCACAAATCTAGGGATGCTAACCTATAGATTTATTAAATATATAAATACTAATTATAGACATTAAAAAAAATTTTTTTAGTACCAAAAATTTTATATATTGTTTAATTTAAATATCAAATTTTATATCAGTTGAATTTGACAGATCATATAGATTACTCAAATGACATAACTACAAAATCTATGCTCATTTGGTAAACATTTATGATCAAAATATTAAAAACAACTTCTGTAATAATTTTTTACTAAAACAAATGAAATAAACAAAATTTTGAATACATTCTTACAATACCAAACAATTTAGAATTTTTCAAACAAAGCCTAATCTCTGTTGTAAAATTATTAGAAACATATTCCAATAAGATTTTTGCATCTAAAAACCAATTTTTAATAAAAAGAATACTTTAAATTGGAAAGAAAAAAAGAACCAAAAAATTTTCAGTAAAAAATAAATCTAAATTAAATTTAGAAGAATACCTTAGTTTTATGATATTACAAAGGAGAACATCAATTTGGAGCATTAATTTCACCTTAAATAAATTTGATTGTGCCATTCCAAATTACTTTAAAAAACTTTTATTAAAAATTATTTAAAAAAAACTTGGCACCATTAAAACAAAGTGGTAATCATAATTAAAAAAAGACATTCATATTGTCATATTCAGCAGGTGTAACAGTTTTAAGCAAAAGAAAATTTATTCAGAACATTCTTAATTCACAATTGGAACAACAGTAATACAATTAAAGAAAAATAATATCATAGAGGTTTTTAGTTTATTAGCTTTCGAAAGTAAAAATACTTTTGACCAACTCTACACACCACCTACTTGGAAATTCTAGTACTAAAAGTGTTTGATTATTAATATTTTATTATCGAGTTATAAGTTAAATAACAAAAAGCTTTCATGAAAAATTCTATTTTTTGTTTGTTAAATATCTTTCTATCAAGAGCAGAGATGGTGAATCTATGGTAAGTGGCGTGTATTTCAATAGGACACAAGAAATTCATATTAAATTATTTTCATTCAAATACATTCACAAAACGAAATATTTTTTTAAAAAAATTTCCAAGACTAAAGTACCAAAAGCTGACTACTGCTCTCACTATATAAGTTCTTGTCATAGGGGTACAGGGTGCGTAGCCAAATCTTTCAACATAAAATAAGCACCTTTTAAGGACAAGAAATATTTTTAAGCTCCACATACATTAACAAAATGCAAAATAATTTTTTAAGACTTTACATGATCATGATAGAATAATTAGTTTCTGACATAAAGAACTCTTTTCTTGATTATATAAGCCTCCACAAAAAGATGGAGATTGATCGGTTTGATTTCAGAGGGTGGAAAATGCAGCCTGAAATTGAGAATATTTTGCAAAATGCAACAGAGTTGTACATGAGAGAGCAAGAATCACACCAAACCCAGTTTAGTATACGCACATGTAGACCAGTAAGTATTGCATCAAACATGTAAAATGATTGACACTATCATACGCTATGTACCAACGGAGCACCGAAATGATTTGCAAAAACGTAGAATAGGACAATGTGAAAACCACGCTTTATCACGCAGAATACGTAGTGGAAATCGAAATGGTAAAGAAAAAAAGAACATTTTTGAAAAGGGAAAATTGAACATTTTTTAAAAACACCATATTAAAAAAAAGCACTTTTAAGGACTTAAAAAACAAAAATCTAAAATAAGCACCTCTAAGCACTTTTGAAAAATGCTATGCACCTTTCCCTTGAGAAGTACACGAGTGAGATGCATTGTAAAGAGAAAACCCAAACGAAATTACAGATTATTATCAAATTTGCAATATAGTACAATGTTGTGAGCAGGCATTTTCTCCAACGAATTCTAAATAATCTAGTTTAAGAAACCACATTGTTTAAGCAAATTAATAACTAAACAGTAAATATAGTTACACAATGTAATTTAATGGTTTGAAATCAAAGCAGTAGCTTACAGATTAGCTTTTAAAAAGAAAATATAACTAATGGCACAATAGACATCAGTAAACAATAAACCGTTATTTGACTGGCACACTAATCGAAACAGGTTCACTATTACTGATCTAGAGGATAGCGTGAATGCATAAAAAGAAGATCAGATATTTAATCTATTTGCAACACAAGTGAGCTCATTCTAATAGTAAAAGAGAATTGATCTAATAATCAAGTAAACATAAATTTTTATTAATAATTTTTTTCATTTTAAATTCACTGCATGGGAAATAATAAATAAATGGCATTAGGGTGAAATTTATTGCAGATTAGGGTGAAATTTATTGCGGATAATGCAGCATCCCTTCAAAGATAGATTTGTAAAGCTTATGCATGTAAATAGTCAAAAATATAGAAGCAAGTATGAGTAATAGCTCAGAAAATGGACTTAATTGTTTATGTAAAAAATTTGAACAGCATATATGAATGGATGACAAATAACAGTTCATCTATAACTAATCAGCTTTTAAAAATATATAGTCATGTATAAAAGCATTAGCGAAAATGCATGTACATTTTTTACAATAAAATTCTTTATAAAAATATGCAGCTTTCATAATCATAGCAGTCACTTTATTTAGTGTAAAAAATCGGCAATGCCATGGAAGTTTAATATAAGCTGTAATGGGAGTACACAAGTTTTAAATTTAAAAAAAAAATGCCTCAAACATCAAAACCTGCAGTATTGAAATAAATTAAAAACAATAAAGAGTAAATGATTTAAATAAGGAAATGATAAAAAGGAAAACAAAAATTAGATCTAACATAATAAACATTTTTTACAGAAACTAAAGACATAATTTCAGATCAAGAAATTTAAAATAAAAAAAATAAAATAATTAGAACTTCAAATTAAAATGCGAAAAAAAGATTAGGTATTATAATAATTCCTTTTTTGTCATTAAGGATACTTAATCAATATATTTTATATTTAGTAAATATGTTAATGTAAAAAATAGTTCTATAGAAATTAAATACATGCAACGAAAAAAAAAATAGGAATTTTATGAAAGTAGGATGTTGAAGATGTTTAACATCTAAATCACACATTCAACAGGCTAAAACAAACACATTGTAGACAGAAATGTTAACTTATTGAATCTAGAACATAATTCCATATATTGAAATTAGATGATTGTGATGTTTATTAGAAAATAAATCCAGCAATAATGTGCAGGAGTACATGCAATATAGTAGCAGACAAAAATGCTTACAATATTAAATGTAACAAATTTTATAATAAACATAAAATGATTAACAGTTCAGAAATAAATGTTTGTTTATATACTGGTACAATCTATTCAATTGAAAAAGTTAAAATCAAACGCTTTTTAAAAATGGAAATAAAGAAGAAATTTCAAAATACAGTACTATGTCCCATATTCGGACATTTATTTTCTGGGCACTCTTTAACAATTAAAATTGATAAATCTTTTCTTTTTCAAAAAATTTTTTCCAACTATTTTTTATCACTGCTTTTTTGATAGATAAACATTTATTCTGCTTTAATGAGCACCCTAAAAGAATTGTTGAAAAGAGCAGTTAAAGAAAAACAAATTTTGGTGATAAGAATAAACAATGAGTATTAATGAAGTTAAATATTAATTGTGTTTGAAAAGAACATCACCAGTCAAGCTCAGTTTCCCTATAAATTATAAATTTTTAATCCCATAAATTTACTTTTAGAATTTGAGGTTTGTTTTTTAATGTCATTTTTATTTAATTATCTTCATTGCTAATTCATCACATCAAAGGAATAAAAAAAAAGTGCTTTTATTCCAAAAAGAGAAAGCGCAAATTATCACTTGCTTACTTTTATTTATACATTTTAACTAACCTAACATTCTTCGATTAATTAAAATAAACAAGAAAACATATAAACTTCAAACTAATTATCTTTTATTATTTCTTTTTATCTAATAGCATATCTTTTGAAATTTTTTACCTTAAAGACTTACTATCTGGTAAAAGTTATTTTTCGGACATGTGGAAGTCCCGACGATTCTGAATACGAGACTTTTCACTATATATCAAACAAAGATATATATTTTTTTTAACTGTATCACAGTTTCAGCTATTTGTTTTTTCTTAATCTGGGCACAGACACGTAAGTCATATATTCTTTGTTTTCCAGGAATTACCAGAAAAAATACAGCCACAGTCTCACCAGGATTTATATGCAATATGAATAAGCTTGTACAATAGCCACAGAGAATGTGACATACTCTAAAATAATTATTAACTTAAAGAATTTTTTATGCTGAAATTAATGAATGCTTTATCTGTATTACTTAGTACCCAAAACATGCCAGAATACAAAAAATTTATTTTATAACTAAGCACTATATCCAATGTTTGTAGGCTTGACAAAATAAGTTATCAAGCATTCCTGTTAAATTGAAAAATAATTTAAAAATTGTTTGAATAATACTTACTATAGGAACTAATAAAGCAAAAAAAATATGTGGCATAGTTTTAATTAAAACTATGAAAAATTACAATGACAAATTTAACAACACAACTAAGGTGCTAACCCAAATGACAGCAATAAACAGCCCATCCAGAGTATCAGTAATCCTATATTTACAAACTGTTTCTAAAAGTTACTTTTCACTGCTTTAAGAAGAGGGTGGGTTTAAATCCACTTTCATCTTGATTGCACTTGATGAAAAGATATGGATGGTAGGATAGAAACCACCAATAGGAATATGTGCCAAGACTTTTCCAATAACTTGCATGTTGTGAGTGAAATAAACCTAAAAATAAAAATAACAAAACTAAGAAACTGAAACAAATAGATGTCAATTTTATTTTAAACACAAGATTGTCCTCTTCCAAGGTTTTTTTGGCAGAAAAAAAAAACGCCCAGTTTTTAACACATTACAGTAAAGGTTCTACCCTGCACGATAGATCACTGGGTGTCTGTTTTGCTAGTATCAGGGCTCAACAATATATTTTGACATTTACTATGAGTAAAGCAATTCAATATTTGAATTTGTTCTACACAGCACTTTTGTATAAGAGAACATAAATATAAACGTTCTTAAGGTTCCTACAGGGTATCTGCCACATTTTCGATTTTCAAATTCATGCCTTTAATGACTAAGTCCAAGAACTTTTAATGACTTAAAGAAAATACTATTTTCTCTGACAAAAACAGAATAATAAATTTAAAAAGCATTATAATAACATTAATTAAAATTATAGGTATAACCAAAACTGTTATACTCTGCATCTTCATATTTATTGATTTCAAATTTAAAAAACAGAGTAAAGAAAGAGTTGAGGCAATAAAATAGCTGAAAAAATAATAGCTGAGCAAATAATTCTTTAAAATTTTTTTTCAGTAGAATTATATTCCGAAGATACTTTTCATGTTCATCAGAAAGGAAAGAAATACTCCCAATTTTTCTGTTCTCATTTCAGAATAAAAAAAATTTGCCAATGACTGGCTTGCTTTAGCTGGAATTTTAAATTGATAAAATAAAAAAATAAATAATAATGATTCTGAAATCACAGAAGTTTAAAAGATACTTCGCTTTAGAAATGATGTTTTTTCTTTCATTTTTTGAAAGAACACCATAAATTTTAAAGAACATGATAAAAACTTTTTATATTTTAATAAAATATGACTCTGAGTGGGGGTTTTGTTACAAATTCAGATATTCGGAACACCATAAAATTGGGGGGATTCCATTTTGAAAAAAAAAAATTTTTCGGCGACCTACATCCATGACGTTTCATGACAAATTTCGTTCAATACAGAAATTCATGACTTTTCAGGTGCGCGGATATTCTGTTCCTACAAATATAAATGGGATCATCACTTAAAAAACTCTGATACATTTTTATAAATATTTTAACACAACATAATGGTTAAAAAAAAATGTTTTTCAAGATGGGCAACAGAATTTGAGGAGCTCTTGTTGTAAGGGACCCTGCAGTCTAAATGAGGTAATAATAATGTAACTAACTAGATTCTTTCTTTTATGAAACTACACAATGCAATGACTCAATATTATTCACAATAGTGAGAATTAATGATTTCGAAGTTTGCTTAACTCTTTGACACAGATGAGACACCCGTGTCCATTTTTTTATATGTATTTTTTATGACACTCTAATTGCAAGCAAAAATATATTTTGGTATTTTTTTAATTATTAAAGTCTAATAGTTACTAAAAAAATCTGTTAGATTATCAGAATTACATTTGTATAAAAATATGAAATCCAAAAAGAGAAGTAGTTAGAATTTTTCTGCTTTATTTATATTCAAAAATTTAATAACTGATCTTGTAAATTAAATACATTTCTATGATGAATAACTGTTTTTTTAAATCTAAATAACTGCAAATAAGCATAAATTTGAAAAATTATTTTTTGGAAATGAGTCGTGTTTATAAGATTTTACTGTTAATGCATAAAAAGACACTGGTATTTTATGCTGTATTTCATAACTGGAGGTAATCAAAATGCTAAATATAATATTTTTCACTTATTTTGACCTAAATTCATACAAAATAATGAAAAAAGTATGAAAAACATGTTAAATAAAAATTTCATATCAAAGGGTTAAAGAGAGTGGACTGCATATGTATACAGTCTTTAAAGTACCTGAACCACCAAATATTTCAATTACTCACTTCAACTTGGGTCCGACTTTCAACAAAATTTTCATTGTAATGATCACACTCAGTTCCTTCCAATTTGGCTTGAGAATCCCAAGAAGCACCTTCAGAGTCCATATCCCCTTCCTTTTGTGCATTAAGATTCAGTACACTGCGGACAAAATCCATGGATTTCCTATCCAATATGGAAGTTAGCACTACATCAGACATGCCATCACTGTTGTCATCAGTTGATAAATCAACATATTTTTTGTAATCAGGAGGATATATTATACCACAACCTATAACATCACCTGAAAAAAATAATATATATATGTAACATAAAAAGCTTCAATTAATCTTTTTATGTTAGTTTCTTCGTTATAAAACAACTCCTAATTTATTACTATTTAATTCTTCAAATCGAAGCACTTTATCATACTTTTAAAAAACCACATCCTGTTTCTAAATCTATTTTTAGCCAACTATACATAAATTTAAATAAAGATATTTTTCCTTTTAACCTTTGTGGGAATCGCGTGATCTATTTAATTAACCAATAGTAATTTCTGAGATTTCTCTCTTTTCCCTAAATAGAGACATTTTAGGATTTTTTGCAAGATTTTCCCTACCAGAAAGACTGTTTGCTGATGGAGTAAACATCACTTCTTCGCTCCCACTCAACTAAGAATGATCAAATAAAAGTTACTCTGATTTAATTAAAATCCTGCGTCTGTTTTCCTGCTCGGTCCGACTGCATCATTTTACATATGTATATCAGGGTGCATAGCGAAATTATTCAACAAAAAATAAGCACCTTTTAAGCACTTTTCAAGCACTCAAAAAATATTTGTAAGCACTTTAAAAAAATATCATAATTAGGCAAGGTTGGAAAGTTTTTGACAAGTGACGGTTTTATCGTGTTTTAACCTACATGTAAAAAAAAAAATTTTTGGCATTGTTTTTGACAATTGTCAAAAATTACGAAATTTTGAATCATGTAAAACGAATGGCGTTCTCATACGCTACGGACTGACAATATGCCGAAGTAGATTGATTGGGTTTGAATTAATAGCGAAAACGTTGAATAGAACAATGTGAATTGTGCCTTTTTGCAAAATTCACAGCGAAAACCAACATGGTGATGGTAAAATCTCATTTTGAAAAAAGGAAAATTAAGCACTTTTTAAAAACACTCAATAAAAAAAAGCACCTTTAAAGGCTTTTAAAAGACTAATATAGAAAATAAGCACCTTTAAGCACTTTTTAAAAACGCTATACATATGTCAAAAATTTTTAAAAATAATTTTACTTTTAAATACAGTTGGAACCACTTATCTTATTTAGCAAAATTCTGGATTTAACAAGGAAAATACAGCCTTTTGTTTCTGTTACGTTAGAAACGTATTAGAGTGTATTCTTTTAAAAAGTTTATTTTTCTCACTTTTTCTGGGATTTAATAAAAAAGAGAAATTTGGGAGCATAAAAATATCAAAAATGGAAAGAAAAAAAAAGTTGAAAGTTGAAAAAAGAAATTTCATTTAAAAAACAAACATGTACTAGATATGTGGAGTCATTAACTTCTTGGGCAGTTTTAATAAGTCATAAGATTCACTGCATTAATTGTTTTACAAACAAGACTTATTGGAATGTATTTGGGGGAATGTTAGATATTTTCACTTCTTAATGTATATCTGGTGAGCAATTCATGTAAGAATTTTTTATATATATTTAAAACTTTTGTGCTAACATTGAATTTAGATTTAGTAAAAGACCAAATTTAATATATTACAATTCTTTATGATAAAATACATATTTCAAAAATAACTATTTTAAATATTTTAATAAAAAGTTACTTCTAAAACTAAAACAAAATTATGTTAATTATTATGGAATTATTATTAATCTTTTAATAAGTTAAAACAAAACTCCCAAAACAACTCTGGAGGAAAAAACTATCACATTCTAGCAGAAATAGTATCCAATAATTTTTCATACATCTAAATTACCTAATGGTAAATTTCAAAAGGAAAACTTTAGCTGATGCTATGACAATTTGTAGTTAAACTGATGACAGACTAGAATAGCATAGGTAGCATAATTGTAAGCTTAATAAATAGATTGCAAAATATTTTTGATGTAAAATCATATCACAAAAGTAGTCACATTATATAAAAATAACAAAATTTAACACCCGAGGAATATAAAAAAACTAGTGTAGAGAATCAAGTTTCAAAAAATATAAAAAGAAAAAAAATTTAAACCTTTCGAAAATTTTTGGCCATTTAATTGCACAGAATCTCTAAGCAGAACAGAACCAGTATCTAAAGAAAAAAATATATAATTACAATAAGATTTTAACAAATTAAACAATATTTTTTGTTGTTGTTGCTATTAGCACATTTTTTAAAATAAATTTAAGAAAATATTATACCTGAAAAATAACCTATAGAACCAGCTGTCTTTCCAGGAAATATTTTACTAGGATAGTCCTATTAAGAGAAAATATAAAGTTAATGCATAGAAAATAAAAAATTTAACATAGTTAAAAACTTTTAATTGTCAATTGTAAACTGTTAATTGTAAATTTAATTGAATATGAATGTTTTAAGCACAAAGAAATTCAATTGTTATGGCTGTGATGTAACAGGAAATAACACAAATTTAAATTTATAATAATAAAATAACACAATTTCAAACTTATGAATCTTACGGGTTCAGTACAGCACAAAGGATTTGGAAGGCAAAACGAACAGACATCTAAACACTTATTGAGTGCATTTACAGACAGTCATTGAATTTCAAATTCACTATTATCATTAGAAAACCAATCCACTGGCCATAGCCCTGAAGTACTTGTTTTAGGAATAATTATGACACAAAGTGAAAAGCCTTGAAAATTTGAGCAGAAACTTTATATGAAGGTATAATTTTGTATACCAGACAAAATTAACATAATTTTTGTACACAGTAGGGAATCGATTATCCGGAACGATCGGGACCATCGCTATTCCGGATAACTGATTTTTCCGGTTTTCTGAATCACTACAAAAAGCAGTTCTTTTATTGTTAAACCCAAATAAAAAAACAATTTTTTTTTTTGAAATAATCTTAAAAAGAAGAAAAAAAAAACGATAGAGTAATACACTAAGGATTATTTCCAAACTGATGGTAAGGTAAACATCTTTCAAAAAAGAAAGAAAAATCCTAAAATCTTATAAGGGAAATTAATTTTTTTTTTTAAAAATGGCGGGAAAATTTATCGAATTTCGTTCCGGTTTTTTGGTTTTCTGATTTCCGGATAACGGGTTCTGTACTGTACTAAGATTTACAATTAAATTACCTATCAATGAAAAATATCACACCTTTATAGTAACTAATTAGAGAAAAACTTAAGTCCTTACAATAATCCTGATATTGGAGTTTAAAATTGTGTAAATATGAACGGCGGTATCGAATTTTTAAACAGCATGATTTCTGAATCGTAAGAATGAATAGCGGAAATCGTTGAGCAATATGACATGGTAGCAAAGAAACAGAAATAAAATTAATAAAGAAATGTACAGTCACAAACATGAGTAAAAACATTCCTAAACAAAAGTATTAGCAGTATGAAACCAAAGTCCTACTCAAAGAGAAAGTTGACATTAAAAAAATATATTTTCATTTTTAATGAAGCTTCGTATCTGAAACTTATATTATAATCAGGGGTCTGTTTAGAAGAAATAGGAAAGAAATGCAAATAAAAGATTCCAAGAATGGAATATGCAGAATTACCACTGAGCTACAGAAAGAGATAGTGATATTTATGTAATAATGAAACTAAATCAATGAAAACTGATAAACAAAAATAGACGAGAATAAAGTATTTCAATACAATCATAATCAGGAAGATATGACAATAATTCAGACAGGTGACTGGTCATAATTTTACAACTGTTAATGTTATTTTTTTGTTTATTTTGCTATGTCCTTAGAATTGAGTTAATTAAAAGATTTTTATTAATTTACACAAATTGCTCTACCAAAGACAATTTTGTGTAAAAATAGAATTAAATTTGATAATAATTTATAAATATTTTGTTTAATAATAGAAACTTATCCAACTGAAATAAAGTATGAAAGATATATCTTCCTAAACATAGAATTCTAATATCTAGATCTAAAATTTAATTAAAAAAAGAACTTAATAATATAATTTAAACATAGGACATAAGAGATATCTCAGTAACCATTCCTTTATTTTTCTAAAATTCTTGATTGACCCAGAAAAAATTATATAATGTGCTAAGTCATATTAATCTACTACTTATTTTAATTTTAATATATCTTTTTGTTACAAATAGGTTAAACCCATAAACATTTTTATAACTATAATCCCCAATTATCAGTGCACATTATATGACCTAACATATTTTAAATCAAATCTCAAAAGAACTAATTATAATTAGAGGAATTATTTAAGTTCATAAATTATGACAGAAAAATATTCTGAAAAAATTTCAAAACTCTAAACTTGTATTAAAAAATAGTTACTTTGCTTAAGTTACTTACTTTGCGACAAATGCCTATAGTAATACTGCTTTTTTCATCACAGTCAATAATTTCTACAGAAAAATAGGAATACATATAATTTAGAGGTTTTTTTGCTTGAGCAAATCTAAGTTTTTTCACACTGGACCGTGCAGGATAAGTAGAGCTTCGTAACTCCTAAAAAATTAAAATAATTTTTTAAAGTTATTTATATGTTACTTGTAAAGCCATGCCATAAAATAAATTTAAAAAAGCTATCATAATAACATGTAGTTAATTTCTCAACAGAGTATAAATCACATTTATTTCATCAATTACCCATTTAGATTTTTTAGAGTTAGCATATGGGAAAATTTTTTCTTAAGTGAGCTATAAATATTGTGGATCAAGGCCTTAATCAGAAAAAAGATATGACAAAAAATAGAAAGCTAAAAGATTTCATTGATTATTTAGATCTAGTTGATCAAAATGAATTTATAGCCAACTTTGACGAAGTTTTTGATTTTAAGTTGGGTATTAGTAGCCAGTTTTTGATGGCTGGTAATACCAACCACTACCAGGTTCTCTTAGGCATAATTTTTAAATAAATTGAAAAATTGAAGAAAAAAAAAACACATATAAAAAATGCAAGGAAATAATAAAATTAGTACTTTATTTTTTTCAAAAAAAAAAAAGNAAAAAATAAATAAAAAAAATATGGTTTTAAAATTTTGTAAAACTGATATATGATTATTTTTATTTAATAAATTGTACACACATAAATATTTTGAATAATAAATGTTGATGTAAGACCCAGAGGTCGCATAACTTACATATCCCAATGCATCACTTGCAAAACAAGATTAAATTAATTGTTATGCATAATTTGTAAATCTAGTAAAATCGAATAACATATTTACCTTTTTAACAATAAAAACTATGCATAAAAAATCAAATGGAAATGATTAAAAAATCCCCCTTAAAAATAAAAAAATAGATAAGTATTAAGGATAATAAAATTAAAGCAGTGAATGAACTTGTAGGAGAAAATTCTCTATAACCCATCTCTGCCGTTCTACAGTTAAAAGGAAGGAAAAGCAACCGTCAAAGATGAAGAGAAAAATTTTCTGTTATATTGTAACGATCCTACAGTAGGTTCCATCTTAAATCAATATGCATTCCTATTGACTCCTAAATATTTTGGAAATTATCATTTTGAACAATCACCATGGAACCAAATTTTTTGGAGGGAAGAACAAAATTAGAATACTTGCTTTATTTATAAAAAGTATTTTGTGCAAGGAAAATAATTCCAAACGCTATATTTGTGAAAGTACAGTTTTATCGAACAGTGAATTTGTGAAGGTAACCACTTATATGTAGTAGATTTGGACTACACAGATTCCTGTTACAAATAAGTTCAAAATGTAAAAAGATAATAGTTAATTTTTAAGTAAAAAAAATTACAATAGTTACAAATTTCAAAAAAAAATCTTTGGGTAAATTCACAATTTTCCAAGAAGGTCCACATTTAAATTGCAGAATAAACTATATCAGTTTTTATTAGAGTAGTAACTCTGCATGGACCATCTCAGAAAATTAATAGAAAATAATAAGATGGAAAAAAAAAGTTAAATTTATAAAATTAATAAATAAAATAATATTATATTTTAATCATATTTTTAAGATTACAAAGCACAAAAACAAAATTGATAATGAAAGAAATAAGCATATGAAAAATCAATATCAAATTATGCTGAAAAATCCAAAAATGATAAAAAACGAAGAAAGAATAAACACACAAATATGCATATTTATATATACATAATATGTAAAATGATAAATAATGTATAAAAGGGCCGGGATAGCCTGGTTAGTAGGGCACTGGACCCATGCCCAAGAGTTCGATCCCAGCCGGCCGAAGATTCCCCACACAGTAAATGGAGACTGATACACGTAAAATCTGTCGAGTCGCAAAGTCCTACATGTTCCCATAACAAATCAATACTTCTGGGGGTACTGATCCAGGAGTTTCAGTTTCTTTGTTTTCTGGACTGGTTCAAAATTACAAGGCTACGGAGTTGAACATAAGTAATCGTAAACCCAAAAAATTGGGTCAGCTGTTTAACAACGGATATAAGATACAAAAAAAATAAAATGTATAAAAATATTTATAAATATGCATAACTTTACTGCTACATGGTAAGATAGTTAATTCAATTGAAAACTCACTAAAGTGGATGCATGAAAGCCTATTATTCTACGCCATGGATTGCGTTTGCTATAGTCAATTGGTAAAAAATGCATAACACTGTCACAGGAAGGCACTTGGGTAAGTTTAACAGTTTTTTTCTCAGTTTTAGAGACTCTTTGTTTATCGGTCTCTTTAGCACATGTTTCTTTAAACGACTTAACAGTTTGAGATTTTTGACGAGATGGAGACTTCATTTCTTCAGAATCAGATAAACACAATTCTAAATTCTTTGGTACACCACTTTTAACATCATTTCCTACAGCCATGTTTACACCTGCATTTTGTAGATTAACCATTCTGCTAATGATCATGTCAATAGTCTGATGAGCAGGAGTGTAAGGATCATATTCTTTACGCATATCATCTCTGACAGCTGAAATTAAAAATATTTTGAAATTAATTATTATTATTAAGATGGAGTTGAGAATATGAAATTTTTGCCACATGTTTCACAGCAAAACTTTAAAATAATTTTTGCAAGCAATAAAATTTTTTTCAACTCATTTTGTTTACTATATTATAGGCAGATATGCATAAAATACAAGAACTCTGTTCGGAAAATTTTATAGAATTACTCACAAATTTAAAAAAAACTATCAAAATGATTGTAAATTTGACTTTAAAGCATTGAAAATTGAATGAACAGCAAGGAATTTTATAAGGACATTTATTAAACGTTTGTATTAAAATGTCTTTCCGCAACTTATATTTTAAATAAACAAAAACTGCTAAATTTTAAGAAATAATAGGCTGGTATGTAAAATAGTCAAAATAGTTTTAAAGAATGAGTGGTTTCTGAACAAATTTCGTCAAAATTAAGTCGATGAAAGCGTTGAAATTAGAAGCGCCAATGAATTACTCGAAGAAAGATTTTTGAGATTTTGTGTTTGCAGAAAGTTTATATGATTACAGGGTTCTAAACACTATTTTAAAAATAAATTTTTCTGACTTATACAGATTTTTGAAAAAAGATTAGCTGCACTGAAAAAAAAATTATTTTTTTTTAAACATTTGGAGGATATGACATAGAATTTAAATGTTACAAATATGGTTTGAATTTTAATATGATATGAAATTTACACTTTATTTCATCTTTGTCTATAGAATTAGTTTTCTTAACTCTTTTAAATCCTGCCAATACCAAACGTGATATGTGATTTTAAAACCGCCTGAATACAAATCCCGACCTTCTAATTTCTAAATCATATGAATAGCAGCATTTGGTTATTTTCTGAATAATATATTCTTTGAATTTCATCTTTATTTTGAATTTTATTTCCTTTGATTATAATCTGAATTAATGTGTTATTTGTGTTTCATTCATTGACCAGTTTAATGCAAATTGTGATGCCTATTTTGTAAACTGCGCAAATATATTTCTACTAAGGAAAAAAAAACCTTTCAGGATAAAGTTGAACTTAATTTTTCTTAAAAACGAGAACACTTATAAATGTAAGAATTACCAGATTTACAGATATAGAACTTCAGTATATTTTAGTGTAATACAATCACCACTTATTATTTTCAAAAAAAATCTGCAAATGGCAAGCGTCTATATAATCTAACTCTGATAACCCATTATCCATTGAAGAAATTGCATGTGGTATGGAAATTCCCATAAAATTAGTATTAAAATGTAAAACTTTTTTCCACGTTTTTGCTGAAAATTCAGATTTTCACTGACCATTCTCTGACTTATTTTAATACTTTAAAATTCCCTAACCTATATAAAAAAAAACCATAAAAACTCAAATATTAACAAGTTGGTTACAGATACACATATAGCAATATGCATGGTGAATATACATGCAATGTAGCAATATACATGGTATATGTACATGTATATTGCATACCAAACAACTTTTTATTTTTTTCAAAGATGGTGGTAAGGGGACAATATAATTAGAATTCTAAGCACAAAAATTTATTCTTGTTTAGTCGGAGCTTAAATATACATCATCAATCATAGGATTATCATCTATAGGTTTAATTTATTTACAGGTAGTAGTATAGTAGTAGTGAATTCATTTTATATCAAAGTTTTAAGCTTAGTAATAAAGCAGGAAAGCATAAATTTTGCTACAAAAATATACAAATAAAATCCTATAGAAGATTTATAAGAATGTGCAGTTAAGATAGAATATAGTTAAGAATATAACTATAACTTCAAAAGTTCCTTTTTTTTCCTACTTAAAGTTTATGAAAAATCAATTGTTTAAAAGAAAACAAGAAAGATTACATCAAAATATAAAGGTGCAATCTCATAAATGGAGTGTGGACGTTCCTTCCTCAGATGCTAGACAAGTCCTACAAAGCTCGTAAAAAGAAAGTCACAAAAACTTTCAAGGTAAAAAATAACAATAATAGGAAAAAATAAATAAATTTACAATAAGGACTTTGTAACTTTCTAGCAAAATTAACATTTCCTTAATTCGAATATAAATGTTATTTACATGTATTTAATTCCAATGAGTGAAATAATAAAATTCTTTATTTCAGTAATTATCTTTAAACTATTCTATAACTTTGTACAAAAACCCTTAAAAAATGAAGCAAATGGATTTCATTTTGATAATTAGCTCTTAGTATTAATCAGCCTTTACTTAACACATAAAAATGAGCACCTAAAAACTAATGCGGCCTTATACTGATGATGAAATGATGATCTGTTCTTTCATAATAAAAAATTAAATAGTCAGCAAATTTAGTTCTCAATGAAATATTAATACTGTTATTTGATTTCAAACACAACATTGTGATGAACAAAAGTTGCTTGCTATTCTTAAGCATTTGGTCATAAAACAAGCTAGCAAAGGAGAATTTTGAGATTTTATCTCCACAGACTTCTCTCACATAAAAATTAAAATTGTTTTTACAAATGCAATAATTATACAAACAGTTATACTATCTTTTTTTTTGCTAGTATTTGTGAGATTGTTTTACTTTTAAAACTATTTCTGTATCGTTTACAAAAACACATGTTGGAAATTAAATTTGAGGTGAAAACTAGCATATCAGTTTTTTTATATGGTGAACTGAGGTGAAAATATTAAACTGCTTGAAAAAAAAAAGTAACAATATTTTATAGAATTTAATATTCTTGTAAATTATTCCATATATTGAATAAAGCTTTTTCGTTAAACACATTAAACTAGGTTTAACAAGACAATGAACTGTATATACAGATTTATTCAGGAAACAGTGAGTGTCAAAATATATATGTGTATTAAAACTACCTAGATTCAGGCATTTCAGTATGGAAAAAAAAATTTGATACGTTCAGACAAGGAATTTTATAAATAGCTACTAATACAAAGAGGAAGAAAAAAAACATTTAAGTGGTACTAAATTTTTTAAAAAAATTGGATGATGTAATATAAAATTAATTAGATTAAATGACATATAGTTGTAGAAAAGTTTTTAACATCTAAAGCAGGAAAGAAAATAAAAATTAGAGTTAAATTATTCAACAATTGAGTAAAAAAATTAATAAAAAACAACACAATTTACAAACTTTTAAATTTTATTTCATAAAGAGCTGAAGCCTAAAATGAAATTAATAATACACTGATTAATTTAAAAAAATGAAATTATCAGTTAGGCATCAGCAGCAATCATTAAATGGGCTCGTTTAATAAATATTTTCAACAAAACTAATACTAACGCAAATAATGAAAGCTAAAAAAAATATAAATAAATCATGTGCATAGACTTTATTTAAATTACCCTTTTCCATAGCATTAAATAAAAAATTTCATAACACAACTATGACAGGAATATTTGTAAACAAACCTATAGCTTCGTTGACATATTCAGCCATCGGATCCTTCTTGTAGTTTACAGGCATTTCACTCGATAAAGGTAAACATGCGTCACCTTTAATTAGAAAATATATTTAGACTGGCTAAAAAATAATAAATATATACAGAAAAATAATTTAATAAATATTTAGGAAAAAAACCATCAGAAAGAAATTTCATACATCCGTCGTCAACTTTCACCAATTTTTAAAGGAGTATGGTTGTAATGAGCTGCCTTAACTAAAAGAAAGAAAACAAACCAAACAAAGTTATAAGAAGAGAAATGAAAACAAAGCAGGAACTAAATATATTTAACACACTTTTTTAAAATTTTATAGCTAGCTTACTATATTATGAATAAAAAATATATTCTATAGTAAATAACTCTGTTAAGGATATTCTCACTAGATTACATTTTTGGCAGGCGACTGTTAATCTGATTGGATAATCGTTTCTATCCTTGAGAAGAACGCCAATCATGTTCTCCTTCGCATGAATTTTTTTTTTTTTTTTTGCATTAGAAAAAATCACGTTGAAAGGAAACGACCCTTGAAATTATTATTTTTTTTTAAAGTTATAGCATTTCCTACTTCGACTTCGACCTCTGACGTAATGTTTGTGTTTATATTTTGGTTAAGATCAAGTTCAGCCTTGGTAACGCTGTGGGCTCAAGAAAAATTTTAGTTCCAGTTTTATTCTATTACTTACGTTATTACTAACAACCAATTAATGATTTAATATTTATTACCAAAATTCTGATCTAATGCAACATTATAATATGAATGAATTGGTTTTACTAGTAGTATACCCTTTATTTTTTAAATTAATTTAAATCACGGAAGATTTTAGTAATAAGACTAGATTTTTTCTATACTTTATTATTTTAAAAATATTTAAATGCATACAAAAATTATAGCTTTTGAATGAATTTCTATGAAATAGTGATCGGTTTTATTAGGTCAATAATGAATATATTTATCAGCCAAAGAGTGATTGACACTCAAAAAAATTACCTAAAAATATTCGTAAAATGTGGAGCTGATACGATGGTCCCTGTTAATGTGGAAAATAATTGGACTGTGGGTGATTTAAAAGCAAATGTAGCATCTAAATTATGTCTGAAAGCTGAGGATATTAGGATAATATTTTCGGGCAAAGAACTTCATGATGATGTCGAATTTCAGGTAATGAAAAACCTCTATTAATAACCTTTGTGGTACAAAAGCACATATGTTCATGCACATATAACGTCTGTATAGATATAGATCACGATACGGAAATATCCCCAAAATTTTGGAGAAAAAATATATGTAGAGGTTTGTTTTTGGGTGGCTACTAATTATACCCTTCTGGTTTGTCCCTTTTTGTGATGATTTTTTTATTATTTTTTATGGTTCTTCTGGGCCACTGCCCAGTAACTGAGTGCTCGATCTTCACCATATCATGTCACAGGTCTAGGGTTCTACCCTCTGAGACAAGATTGACTTTGTCTTTCTTTCCTTCAGTGGGTCAATAAAAAAGGTACCAAGCATGCTTGGGGACTAAACTCTAGAAGTTCCCGCAATTAGCTAACCATTTGATCAGAACTTCTGCTCCTTTTATTGGTAAGGGTTATAAAATTTGATTTTTTTCGCTAGGATTTTTGTCCAACAATAAATAAATCAACTCTGACTAAAATCAAAACCCTAAACTCAGCGGCGCAACAGCTCATAGAGGGCCAGAGCCTACTGTGCCCATCTCAGTTTTCTTGACCTTTGGTCCCTGGGGTGCAGGAGCAGAGGTTCCGGTTAGGTGGTCAGCCGAACGCGAAACCCCCAGTGTTTAGTTCCCAAGCATGCTTGGTACTTGTTTATCGACCCACTGAAGGGATGTCAACCTTGCTCAGCCCGAGGATTGAACCAGGTACCTGTGACACGACAGCGTGAGGCACTACCGCTCAGCCACCGGGCGTCAAAATCAAAACCCTAATATGTATGATATATAAAACTAAAACTATACTAAACTCAGAAGCAGGACTAAAAGGCCAAGGTCTACTGTGCCCATCTCAGTTTTCTTGACCTTGGGCTCTGGAGTGCAGGAGATGGTCAGCCGAACGCGGAAACCCCAGTGTTTAGTTCCCAAGCGTGCTTGGTACTCATTTATCGACCCACTGAAGGGATGAAAGGCTGAGTCAACCTTGGCCCGAGGATTGAACCCAGGACCTGTGGACCGGGTGCGCGGAAGGCTACCACTCAGCGTCATGTATGGTATATAGGTTTTTATTAAATATATAGTTTGTGTTTACATTTACTTTAAAATGTTGAAATTTTTTTGTTCAATAAGTATAATGTTTTATAAATTTAGTATTGTTTGGAAGTAACTTTCAACAAGTTTCAGAAAAATATATAACTGTTAGTAAATGATACAAAAGGAGCTATATTATTTTTATGTCTATTCCCAGAAGTAAAAAAATATTTCAGATTATCATTCCTGACTTAAAACATTGTAAAGTGGTAGCTCAGATTTGACTCCTCATGGGATTTGAGTGTTTAGTTCAGTCTACACCCCATTGTCTTGTATCTGAGCTAAACTCTGTAGTAGTCAATAGTTCTCTGAGCTGAACTTTGAAAATTGTTGTAGTGAATTTGTTATAGCTGGCTGCCATATTCTCTGTTGAGATGTTTCACGCACTACTTCTGTTGCCAAGCTTGAGGACAAATACTAAAGTTATTTTTTATAGGACTTTCCTTCCTTTTTGTGTTCTCGTTTCTTTTGATTTTTCAAACTTTTGTCATTGAAAATAGAGAAGTATTTTTAAGCTTCTCTAACTGCTATTTTATTCATTATTTTATTATGCTTTTAGCATCATTTATTTATTCCTTTCTCATCATCATAATCTTGCCTATGTATCATGCACTATTTTTCTCACTATTACTACCTACTATTCTTTTTGTATCATCATACCAGGGAAGACAAAAATCATGACTTTTCTAAAATATAAAATCGGATTTATTTTAAATATATCGAATCAGCTTTATATTGAAATAAGATTATTATTTTTTATTTTACTTTTTATATTTACCCACCAAATTATCTGATTAAATATATCGATAATATTTAATATTATTTAAAATTAATTATATAGCTAGAGCAGAAAATATTTGTAACTGAAATATTTCAAAAGCAATTTAGACAAACTAATCACTGAAAAAAATAAAACCATAGTTTTGTTTGCTCAAGTTAAACATCCTAACATTTTACAGACAGGAAAGCAATTTATCAGTTAGATAGATCCAATGAAGAGTAAATCTGTTTCGATCAGAATAAATTAAAGGAGAAGAAATTATTTAAAAAATTTTCTGTATCGAACAATTCTTTTTCTTTATTGATATAGTCAATAACTACATATTTAATAAGCTTTAATAGCATTTGTATTGAACTAAACCAAGCACTGACTAGGGTATAGTTGAAATATGGTTCTTATAGACATATTATTTTACAGACGTCTGATGTGAAAAATTTCAAGCAGCTTTTATTCTCTAATTTTATTTCTTTATCAGTCTATTATGAAATATAATAATCTACATACATTTTCTTGAAATTATTATTATTATTTTTGGATAAAACCTTCATTATTAATAAAATCAGATTCTAAAAAGAATTTTTATTACAAAATTTCACCGAAATCAGTAGAATAGTTCCTGAAAAATCCATTTTAACTATACTACTTTTTTAAAAATTCCATTTCTCAGGAACTATTCGACCAATTCTCTCAATTTTTGCATTTTGTCATGTAAAATTATGTAATAAATCCTAAATTATGTATCCTAAAGAATATATTTATAAATATTAGCTTATAAATGTTTTGGACTGAAGATTCATTTTTACAAAAAATCAATTGGCTTAAATCAATGATTTTCTTAAAAAAATTGTAGTTGATGTAAATCAAGTGATTTAAATCTTGCAAGCCCTGCCTAATGCTGTTGTTTTTGTGACATTTTGTTACTTTTTCTACATTATTATAGGACTGTGATGTTGGTGAACAAAGTATCATTCATGCTGTTCCACACACCAAAAAATTAATGGATATATCAGTAGAAAATAAATGCCCATTGAATCAAACTCCATTTTGTTCTGATGATTTTACAGAAGGTAAATCATTGATAATATAATTTATGTGTTTTAGACACAGTACACAGAAAAGCAAAACAATCAAACCTTACTAATTCAAACTTGAAAGGGGAGATCTAAAGAAAAAATTGGAAATATGATAAAATTTTAAGCATTTGAAAATCACACGTTATCAACATTAGAACAAAGAAATGAAGCCTTTTTTCACAACTATCATAAAATAATTTAATTTTTTGATAGTTGATAACACTGTGTATAAGAAATGCTAACCAAAGCAAAGATTTTATTGTTGTTTGCTTAGAAAGGTATGATATTTTAACAATGATAAACCACATGTTAAAATATCAATGATAAAATATGAGTTATGTTATCATTGATACAACACTGCGGTGGAATAAAAAAAATCAACATAAGTGACAAAAAATTCAAAATTGATATTTTTATATGTCGGACATTTTTATATAAGTTACTAATTGCAAAAGTTTCAGGAAATCAATTTTTTTAAAATCAGTTTTTTGAAATTATATGTTGGTATTATAAACACTAGCTAGGGAAAAAAAAGTAGTTGTCAAGCTGCTTTTCTCCTGTTCCAGCATTTGTGTTCCAACTTGATCTCAACTTGAATCAGGTACTTTGTGGAAGTCTTCGCTTTTGAGTAAAACTGACTTGCATTTAAATCACACACAAATTATATGCCTCCCAAAGTTTACTTCCTCATAACTCTAGTACAACGGTTCCTAAAAAGTGTTTTTCAGAACCTTAAGGTTTTGTGGAATTGCCACCGGGGTTCTGAGAATTAGGACTTTTTTTACCCAGTAAATCCATCGTTTAATATTTCATTTATTTTTGTGAAATCATATAATTAAATGCCAGCAAAAAGGAAATTGCAAGATTTAAATAAATTGTATTTTTTCTAATAACAAATAAAGTATAAAAATAACTTCTAATAAATCATATCATAATCATAAATCAATTTTTCAATACAAAACAAATTCAACAAGGAGAAAATATATTTCCCTGATCTGTAACCAAGGCTTATTTCCATTAAAACTAAAATTAACTTATATAATGCTCTAATTAAACCTGTATTTCTTTATATCAGTGAATGCTAGCCTTTAAATAAAACTGATGAAAATAAACTACTATAATTTGAAAGAAAAATACTCATAGCCACCTTTGGTGCTGTGAAAGAAAGCACCATTGTGGATTATTCAGAAAATTTAAGCAACCAAGCATAGTTCCAGTTTTTAAATCCTATAGAATAAGATGGCTGGGTCACATTTATAGAAATTATGATTCCAGTTATGAAGTTGACCTTTGGAAAGTTTACTGGTAACCGAAAAAGACCAAACACCAGATGAATTGATTCTGTGGAAAAAAAATCTTAAAACCATGGGCATTAATAGGTGGAGAAGCCTAGCATCTAACCAGGCCCGATGGAAACCTGTTGGGGCGGCTCTGGCCTGTATTAGGCTGTCATGTTGATGGAAGAAGTTTTTGTTGATAACTCTTCTCATTGTTTATTACAGCTCATATTTGTTTTCAATTTAACAAATTTCAAAAATATTATTCGTTTTCAGCTTATGCATACACTAAAAATAAAAATTTCATTCTTCACATTAAATATTTTCATTAAATATGTTATGTGTAACCTTTTTTTTCTTTTCTTAATATGTTCACTTGCTGATAAATTTTATTTATAAAGTCAGGATTCTGCCAAAAGAAGGTTGATCACATAGGGTTGTATGTTTGAAAAAAATTGGGGAAAGATGCTCTAGAGTTTGATGAGTGAGATATGGTAACAACACGCATATTAACTTTTTATTTCAGTCCTGTAGGGGGGGGGGTCTATGGTCCTCCTCAATAATATTAAAATATATAATCTGAATATTCAGACAAATAAAGAAATATTTCCACATATTATCACTGATTTAAATGTCTAAAAGTTAAAAACAAGAAGCAGATAAAAATATTTTGTCTTTTTGCTGGTATTTAGAACATTTAAGAATTTTATTCTTACATGTGAAATTTAGAAAATAATTGTGATTGTGAAATTTAAATTAATTTTATTTTGTCATAAATTGGGCCCTTGCTGTGCCTATGATTTCAGTAAAATCTTATTTGATCTATCACTATAGCTAAAGCGTATGTATTGAATATCAGAATTTTTTTATTTTAATTTAAATTTTAAGTGAGTTTTTTTCAGTATAGTCTAAGTATATCTATTGAAGATCTAAAAATATATTTTTTTTTTTATAATAAAAGATGCTTAAAATATCTTTCATGTGTATATTATTTAAGTATTTGCATAATAAATATTTAATAAAATATTTTTTAAAAAGTGCATATACTACATATTTATCACAATAATTTTAAATTCATGTTTTATTGTATAGATAAGAAAACATCTCCAAAGAGCCACTTTTATGTTTATTGCAATGATCCATGCAAAAGCATGCACCCGGGAAAATTGAGAGTAAGGTGCTCTTCTTGTAAAGAAGGAACTCTAATTGTTAATCAGGTTTGTTTGCTTTTATTTTAAATCTTCTGTGTTAAATTTTGTGGCGCTCCCATGCCACAGGTCCTGGGTTCGATCCTCGGGCCGGTCAAGGTTAACTCAGCCTTTCATCCCTTCAGTGGGTTGATAAGTGAGTACATGCTTAGGAACTAAACACTGGGGGTCTCACATTCGGCTAACCACCTAACCGGAACATCTGCTCCTGCACCCCAGAACCCAAGGTCAAGAAAACTGAGATGGGCACAGTAGGCTTTGGCCCTCTATGGGCTGTTGGGCCACTGAGTTTAGAGAGTTTAGTTTTAGTTAAATTTTGATTTAGTTCTTCGGTTAATTTTTGCTATAACTTCCAATGAGGAAACATTAAATGTTCTTTTTTGTAACGTTTTGCCAATCAACAAGTTTAAAAAACTTTGATGTTATTTATTAAAATTAGATATTTGTTTTCATTGGGATCTTTTGTATTTTCTTTTTCTTGAAGATGCATGATTAATCAGGATCAGAGGTGATTCAAAAACTATTGTATTCTTTTAATGCACAATTTGAATAACTAGCAAGAATAGAAAATTTAATCAGCATGTTATAAAGTTTCTTAGTTGTTTATTTTAGTTCTGTTTTCCGTTAATAGTTTATTTTCTATTCAGTTAAAATTCTATATTATTTCAAAATAAAAAAAAAGGAGCAATATCCTTGTATATGCTAACAATTCTGCCCCTTTTACTATTGCACCTTTTGAACTATTGCACTATTGCACCATGATGAATTGGTAAAAGAAAATAATGAATTATTTATCGACCTTTAAGCAAGTAACACCTAGATTTAAATACCTTGTTAATTTTTAAATAGTCAAATAGATTTATTAAATTATTTTTTTGATATTTTTTTAAAAAATTTAACAGTTTTTCAATGTAGAATTCAAGGAAGGTAGAAAGTGCTTTGGCAGGCTAATTCCAGTGTAGAGTAATTATCTGGTTACTGTAAAATAATTACTCGACATTCATAAAAAATTTAATTATTAAGAAGGAATTGAAATTTTATATTGTATGTTTTGACTGGACCAATCCTGCAATAATCCATTTTAGAGAAATTCAATCTAATTCCATTGTAAACTGATTATCTGGTTACAGTAAAAAAATAAATTATGTAAGTACTATAATAAATTTTAATTATTGTAAAGAAGTTAAAATTCAATATTGTAAGAATTGACTGGGTCAATCCTATAATAATCCATTGTAGAGAAATTTAATCTAATTCCACTGTAAAGTAATTATCTGGTTAGCGTAATAAATTTTAGTCTGTGCAATAAATTTTAATTATTGTAAAGGAATTGAAACTTGATATTGTAGTATTTGTCTTTGCCAATTCTACTATAATACATTGTAGAGAAATTTAATTTAATTTATAGTAAAACAGTCATCTGATAATATAAAAAATGTTAATGTCAGTATAACAACTTTTAATTATTGTAAGAGAATTGAAATTACGTATTGTAGGATTTGTCTGGATCAATCCTGCAATAATGCATAGTAGATAAGTTCAATCTAAACCTATTCTAGAGTAAATACAGTTTAACCTCTAAAAACCCAAAATCTCTAAAATACAGACTTTTTTTTCAACTCCTGACAAAGGAGAAAAAATTTATTTAATCAATTTTAAATTAGAAGAAAGAAGCAGGAATTTGCATGTTTAAAAAACATCCCATTGAAAAAAAAAATCAACATTGAAGATCTTAAAATCCATAATAACAATTATAAATAAATAAAAAATATAAAAAATTGATAGAACCGCAAAAATTTACAATGAAATTGTCTTAATCGAGCTTATTTACTCAATGCTATTGCTGTAATATTGTGCTCGTAAAAACATCATGTTTTAAAAAAAGTCTGAAGGAAAAAGGATAAAGGACTGCTGGAAAAAGGATAAGTTTTGATATATTTATTCAATTTACAATGAAATCTTCGTGAATATAATGCCTTGTAGAAAATACACTTTTTAAATGCGTGATTCAAAATGCATGTGTCATAATTATGTGTTGTAAATATCGTGATTTTAAAAACAAAATACAAATCCAAATAATTCTTTATAATTGATGAAAAAAACCATATGAATTATTGATGAAATTGAGTGCATCAAATAGGGATTACTTAAATGCCTGATTCAAAATTTATGTGTTGTAATCTTGTTCTATTACAAACATTGGTATTTTAAAAAGCAGAAATGCATCATAATTACTGTTGAGAAAACAAATGGCAAAACTGTGTAAAGTTACGATTTTATCATCCCAAAAGGAGATAATAAGAAGATTACCCAATGTCGGGTCTTCATATTTGGGGGATCGTAATAATGAATTTTAAAAAAAATCAAGATTTTTTTTCAGAAATTTATAGAATAACTGTCAAAAACAAGTGCAAAACCATTTGGGTTTATGATGGAATTACATATTTTTTAAATAATTTTAGGCTTTTAACTTCAGTTTTTCTATTAACGTAAATAAAGTACCTAAAATCCAGAATTTTCTGAAATCCAAGCTTTCCAAATTTGGATTCTAGGTTATATTATATTTGACTGTTAAATTTTTTTATGCCATTATAATAAATTTTCATTATTAGAAAGGAATTAAAATTCGATATTGTAATATTTGGCTGTATATAGTTTTATAAAGAGAGAAACAATGGTTATCAAAAAAAGAAAATTATATTAGAAATGTGCTTGCAGTTGGCCTTATTTCAGGACTCTATCTTTTAATGAACATATAGGAGCATTGAATGAATTAGTTTTGACAGTAATTCCATGGTCAAATAATAATCAATGATATTTCTCATATGTATTTTATTTTGTCTTTGTGTAAGCTTTATTAAACCTTATAGGATCCAACTTGTTGGGAAGATGTATTAGTTCCAGGTAAAATTAACGGTGTGTGTCAATATGAAAAGTGTGAAGGTACACATGCAGAGTTTTATTTCAAATGTACAAGCCATGTTTCGATACCTCACGATCAAGCTGTTCCTTTATATCTCATAAAAAACAACTTCAAAAGTGTTCCATGTATTGCCTGTACAGATACCAGGTAAGTTCGAACTTTTAGAGAGAGAAATTTTCAGCCTTTTATGACACTAATTTTGTTGCTATATTAACCAAGCATATTTAGTATCCAAAGTTACTCACTATAAATATTAATGTCTTTAATGCATGTCATAATAGTATTTTTTATTTAAAGAATAGTATCTAAAAAGGCTTTAACTTATTCATTTTGGCTAATTTTATGAATTTCAAATATTTATGTGACATAATTCTGTCTAGTCTTTCTGATTCCCTCACAGTAGTAAAATTTCTCACAAAATAGTATTCTGATTGCTAAGTTTAAATGGTTCAAAGACAACTTTATTATATCTGCCAAATTTAGCTGATAAAAAAAGACAGAAAACTATGCAGTAGATGTTCCAATTTGCCATAGATTAATAGCAGCTGCAATGATTCTGCTTGTGTGCTATAGAGCATCAATTATGCCAAAAATCATTGAGGGACATGAAATTCTCCACAAAAAGCTGTTGCTTTAGTAGATTTAAGTAGACAAAATTGAACTTTGAAATTAACATAAATGAAATAAAAATAAAAACAATTTTTACTGCCATTGAACAAAAAAGTTAAAAACTAATGCAAAAAGCAGAATATTTGATGACAAATTTTAAACAATTATGGGAAATTCAGTTGAGGCTGCTGTCACTGAAGAATATTTAGTCAGAGTTCTGTCAAAAAAGAATATTAAGATAAGCGATTTATATTATTTTAAGCAGAGAGTCTCTTTTAGTAAATAAAGAACTCAAAAATATAAATGTTCTGGGTCCTGAGCACCTGTAGTTTCCCAAGTCTTAAGAAATCACTGAGCTGCTGTTATCCTTTAGTTTATAGTTGCTCGATTAAATTTTATAATATCGATAGTTCAAACTTTATAATTACTTATGCTATGATTTATTTCTTCCAAAATATGTTTGACAATGTTTAAACTAGATTTCTATTATTTTTAAAAATAATTAAGTTATTCTATTTTTAAAAATATAAAATAATTACTTAAAAGCTAAAGTGATGCCAAATAAAAATTTGATACATTTCCTTTTTACAATGCTCAATAATTTCAGATTGATTTTTATAAAATCCTATTATGATTTTTTTAGGGAAATTGTATTAGTATTTCCTTGCACTAGTGGCCATGTAATTTGTGTGGATTGTTTTCGGCTTTATTGTTTATCACGTTTGGGTGAAAGGAGATTTATTCAAGATTCTACTATTGGATATTCTATTGATTGCCCAGGTAAATAATTTTTATATAGTTTAGAATAAAATGGGGTTATTTGTTGAGTGGCATCTGAATTTGCATACTTGATGCCTAGTTAACAGTTTGCCTGATTCTTAAAAATTGCAAGGTTTTATAAAAATGTTGCATGTTTAGTCATGCTCTAGTAAATTGATTCTGCTATCCCTACTTTAAAAAATATTTCTAGTCCTATTTTTTTCTTTTAGTGATTTCCAGTGATTTTGCTAGATTTTGAAAAGTAAGAGTTCTCAGGATCCAGGACTTTCAAATTTCTGAGTCGAATAATTTTATCAAAGAGCAGGTCCAAATTAAACACAGTAAGACTATTTTAAAGACACAGAAGAGTAAATATATTACGTTTTAATTCGTTAAATGTCTTCGATTTACTAAGTATTAAAACCTTCTATATCATCATAAATTACAAAATTTTATGGGAAATAAAATAAATTCACATTTTGAACAATACTTCAAAAATTACAGAAATGGGGTTGCAATTTCCAAGATTTAAGAAAAAAATGAACTGAAATATTGAGCAGATGATAAACTTCCTATCTCTTTATCCATCTAATTAATATGCACATTTAATGATAGACAAAACCAAAATTATCTATTATATCAACAAACTATTCCATCTATTGGTAGACAAAACTAGAAAAGAAGTCTATTTGAAAAACAAGATTTTTTTTCATTACATACAACTACTCAAACATTTACAGCGTGGAAAAGAATGACATAGTTTGATATATAATTGTTTATCCTTTTGATGTTAATACAGAGGTGAAAATTTTTTTTTTTTTTTCTATCTTAGGTTAGTATTGCCCAGACCAAAACAAAATAGTGGTGCTGGTCAAAATTTGTATTTTGTGGTGGAAATGTAAGTTTTTCAGGGGATGCGTTATAATTTTTTTTTCTTCGTATCCTGTCTATGTTTGGAGTATTTGACACTCATTATCACATAAACAGAATCACTGATTTTTCTTAAGATTTAAATTGCTATATTTCATTTTAAATTATTTCTACTCATTATTGTTATTTTGAAATATAACCAATTTATATAGTTATGTACAAGTTATTTCTGAATTTAAGTTATTTATATAAATTTCTGTACTTAATACAGTTTCTGAACTTTAGGCTCTTCATTCTTTAGTGTTCTTATAATACTCTCTATCTCTAGTACGAACCTAAATTAAACATTTCGAAAAAAATGGATAATAGAGTAATGTTTTTGTCAAAATAAGTATAATATTTATTAAAGGAATATTTGCTTTAGTTTTGTGTACTTACAATATAGTGACCTCATGATATAACTTTTATTTTCTTTGAACCACAGGGGTCGTTTTGTCAATTGTCAACTGTACAGCACTTTTATTTTGTTTCACTCAACTATTTTGCTTTTGTGCAGAGTGTATTTATATCCATATAATTTAAATAATTCTTTCTCATCTGATTTAAATTCTTTTTCCTAGCTGGCTGTTCAGATTCATTGATTAAAGAACCACATCATTTCAANGAATTAAATTAAAAAGTAATTAAATTTGTTAGGCTATTTTTTACTTTATTTTAATTTATTAAAAATTTTTTGGATAAAATAATAATTTAATGGGTTTTTATTACTGATTTTTAATTTATAAATCTTTAGGTGTTTTCATTTTTACAAATAAAATTATAACAAAACTTATTTTTCCTTTTTGGACATAAGTCAATCAACTTTGTTTATTCAAAAAAACTAGTAATGTTTGCGATTGCGTCTTCTTTTTTTAAAATCATTTAGCACTTAGTTTTATTAGAGTATAATCGTGTTTTTTAATTTTCTTTCAATATTGTCAGTTGAATATATTATCGAATATCATAATTCTTTTGTTTTTATTTTAAAAAAATTAAACTTTACTTTGTTTTTTTGTTCAGAATTCGGTAATTATTCAATTTAACTTTATTATTTATGTGAAATAATAATGATAGAAAATAGTGTTGTTTCAGAAGTGTTTTTTTTTTTTTGTTTAATTTATTTAGCACTTTGTTTTAAGCATACAAATAATTTTTAACGAACCTATTTTTTAAATTTTCTTTCTATATTGTTAGGTAAATATATTGATAAATTTCAATTTTATTTATTTTTCTATTATTTATTTTTAGAGTAAGAAATCTTTCGTTTTTCGCGCTATCATTTTTAGAAAATATAACATTAATATCTTTCTTAAGAAAAACATATGCATCAAATTCATAAATTGGTTTAAATTAATCTGAGTATGAAGTTTTGATAGAAATCAGACTTTCTGCGCCTTACAAGTAAATGAATTTCACAAATACTATATCGCGATACATCGCTATATCGCGATGCAAAACTGACGATGCATCACGATATAAAATTTCTCATATTGCCCAGTCCTATTTGACACTCATTAGCACATAAACAGAATCACTGATTTTTCTAAAGATTTAAATTGCTAAATTTATTTTAAACTATTTATAATCATTATAGTTTTTTTTGAAATATAACTAATTTATCTAGTTATGAACAAGTTATTTCTAAATTTAAGTCATTTTTTAAGTTTCTATACTTATTATAGTTAATGAACTTTATGCTCTTTATTCTTTAGTATTCTTATAATAATCTCTAGTACGAACGTAAATTAAACATTTTGAAAAAAAAATGGATAGTAGAGTAATGTTTTTGTCAAAATAAGTATAATATTTGTTAAAGGAATATTTACTTTAGTTTTGTGTGCTTACAATATAGTAAACTCACAATATAACTTTTATTTTCTTTGAACCACAGGGGTCCTTATATCAAATGTCAACTGTACAGTGCTGTTCTTTTGTTTCTCTCAACCATTTTGCTTTTGTGCGGAGTGTATTTATATCCATATAATTTAAATAATTCTTTCTCATCTGATTTAAATTCTTTTTCCTAGCTGGCTGTTCAGATTCATTGATTAAAGAACCACATCATTTCAAATTGCTTGGAGAAGAAGAAGTATATTGCATTTATTTTTAAAACAAAGTAGACTATGATATAATTTTTTTAGTTGTATGTTATTTTATTGTTTCTAACTATGTTTATAGCTTTATGTTAGCATAAATGTTTGAATGATTGAGTATAAATGTAAATACAGATATTTATTGGTGCAGCTTTTTAAACTTGTATTTTATATATTTGATTTATATATATTTACTTGTGTATACTTGATATTAGTATTAACACGAGATTTTATGTACCATTTGCATATAAATTTATGTTACATATCTTTTACATTACTCCAACACAAATTTTACTTGCTGGTGATACACTTTTATTTGTTTTTTGAATAAATATGTTTGCATTATAATAAGGAAGTTATAGATTCAAGTTTTGTTATGTGAAATATTTTTTTTAATTGTGATATAATTCCTTTTCAATACAATATAATGCAGGAAGTTAAAAGGATTTTAAATTTTTGTAATGCTTTATAAAAATATATGCTTTAATATATCCTCATTAATTTTCGTTTAATGTTTATTTTAAAAGAGAAAAATTTATGCAAAGATATAAAAAATACAAAAAATGCCCAAATTTGTCTTTCTCAGCCACTATTGCTCCGCTTGGCTACTGCGGTTTCTATTTGTTTTCATCTTTATTTTCTTTTTCATTAGTAATGTTGCATTTTTTCAAATCTGTTCTTATTTTCATTTTTCACTTGTTGGTAAGTCTTGATAATGGGCATGTTTGTTTTGAGCACATGAAACATTTAAACTTTAATCGCCTTAATTTTTAAGACTAAAGTTTTTCCATTGACAGTTATATCTTACTATTTAAGTTTTTTTGAGGTTATTAACTTCATATCATGTACTTAGTTCGTGCAAACTGGGATATATTAACCAGACTTGGCACACTATTAAAAGTAGCCTTAAAGAACCTAACATATTAGATCTGCTATAAAAAAAATCAAGTAATCAAGGTATTAGAATATGAGTCATAAATTTAATGTCTCTATCATCAAAATCTTGCGAGCATCATACATTGACTATATTTCTATATGTATTCTTCATAAGACAATAGGGACACAGGGAAACACTTTTTATTGTTTCAGTATTGAAATATATTTTATTTACAAACTAAAATTTTTTCCTATCTTTAGCTTTTGTTCAGCTTCTTCTTTGAAAAGCTTCTTTCACTTGACCATTCTTATCTCAGTCCCTCTTAAGTATTAAAGATTTCATTTTGTACTGTAGATTTCATTTTAACGAAGTTTTAGTATTCATAAGCACCTAGAATTTCAATTCACCATGCAGTAAAGATTGTACTTTTTTAGTGATTTCACATTGCTTTGGAAATTATGGGTTCTAAGGACCCAAGACTGACAAGTTTCTAGGTCCCCTGTAGAAAAAGAGAGTTCCCATTTAAAATATAAATTCATTGCCTTTTCATCCATGTATTAATATGCAAGTTGATAAGTATTTTCTGTATTGATTTACAAACTAAAAAATTTCAAACAAGAAAAGGGGTAAAAAAAAAGATTTTTTTTCCCGTTCAGATTTAAAGTTTGGTTATAATTTTGTCTACATGCTATTTCTTTTACATGTTTTGCATGTTAAAGGGTGTAAGCGGAATTCTTGCCCTTTATTTAACTCTAGTATTATTTCTTTATATTAAAATTATGTTTGACTTGACTGTGCTTACAATATTTCAGTACTCCAGATATCAAAGATTTGGTGCTGAAGAATGCCTTCTGCAAGATGGTGGAGTGCTCTGTCCTCAGCCAAATTGTGGTGCTGGTATTTTACCGGACACTCACTGTACACGAGTTGTTTGCTCTCAAAATGCAGGAGGATGTGGAGTAAGTTATATACATAGTTTTAAATCAAACAGTGAATCAATTTCGATCAAATGATATATTTTTTTACTTAAAACAAACATCATCTCAATTCTTTTTTCTTCAAAATTTGCTTTAAATTCTATAAAATAGAATGATGGTTTGATCAATGAGCTGAAATTTGTCATTTGGTAATGCTTTGAGCTGTTGTGAAGAACTGAGATTTGATCTCAGAGTGGCATATTGAGGCCCATCCAGCTTCAGATTGATGGGTACTAGCTTGTCTGGAAAATAAAGGTAGATTTTGTGTGATGCTGACCAATTTTGCCATTATCATGCCGTTGGTTTGGAAATTACACAGCTTCAGCCTCCAATCAGTAGGGTTTAGTTAAAGTGATGCATTAAGCATCTGCTCCTATTTCTGCAAAATTTTGTTCTAATAATATGGACATTCTTTTTTCATTTGTGTACATTTTCAGATTAATTCATAAATGAAAATCACACCTTGTACTTTAATGCATGGTGTGTTTAGAATGATAATTATATGAAGTTATTTTACACTTGAGTGCATCATCAGTAGTACAGTAAAAGATCTTTAAACTACCTTCTAAACATGGCAATATTAGTCTGAAACAGATCAATCCTAAAATAGTTTTCAGATGCAAATAATTGAAAACACAAAAAGATCCACTTATTTAGTATTTACAGAAAAAAATGTGAAATTTTCTGAAGCACTAGAACTAATAAACAATTTTTATCAATTTTGGTTTGCATAAGTTTTAAAATTGTTACTTTTCATTTTAACGAATAATGTAAAAAGTTATTAGTCCCTACCTAGTTACATAAATTTCATAACTGCAATTTCTATTATGTTAATATGATTTATGGAGAATTGCGTTATATAGATCTACTGTATTCAAATTTGTACTCTCTTACATATTTAAATATATAAAGCTAATAGCAAAAACTGAGAATTTCTCACAGGATTTTATGGCTTTTTGTAACCACCATTGTTTATTTTAAGGAAACGGAAAGAAGTTTTAATGACAATTATAATTTTTGATTATTAATATTTAATTAATAATTATAATTTTTAAAATTATAATTTTTGATTGTTTTCAAATTTGTTGATTATTCTCTTTTATATTATTATTGCAACTCAAATGTTACAAATTTTACTATTATATTTATACTGGGCATTTTTAATCTCTTGCTTGACATTTTTTCTTAAATTTTATTTATAATAGCTTTATCCTGTGCATTCTTTTAAAGATTTCTAGAAACTTTTAATTTTTATGAAATGTAAGAAAAGAACTTTTCATTCCAATATTTTTGATTAAAAAAATTTCTTTTTGTTTTTAAAAAACAACATATATTTAGTGAAAAATGTCGTATTTTTTTAGTTAATGAATATTTAGTTCCAAATGAATTTAAGTTTTTAATTAATGTTTTTTATTTTCACTTTTTTCTCTATAGATGAAATTTATATCAGTAATCTGTCTATTCTATGGATGTGAGCTTTACTTTTAGCTAATATATAATTTGTTTTTAAGAAAATGTTATGTTTCTTAGTATTTCATTAACTGCAAGAACCTTAACTCTGCAGAATTTTTATTAAACATATTTTCATAATTTGTAATTTTTCTTTGTATTAATTTAGATCTAAATAAGTGAAATATGTTATATTTAGTATTTCAATAATTTATGTTTATGAAATACTGCATGAAACACCTGTGTCTTTTTCCAAGTTAAATGTGAAATCTTGCAAACACAGCTCACTCCAAACTATAATTTTTCAAATTTGAACTTATTTACAGCTATTTAGATTTAAGAGAAACTGTTATTCATCATCGAAATTTCTTTAATTTGTGAAATAAATTCTTGATATATTTTTGAATATAAATGAAAAACTTTTTTTTCAATCTATTTTTTTAAAATTTTATATTTTGGTGTAAATATAATTCCGATAATCTAACAGATTATTTTAGTAACTATTTTACATTTTTTATGGTTAAAAATAACCAAAATATATTTTTGCTCACAATTAGAGCATCAGAAAACAAAATATATAAAAGAGACACCCCCCCCCCACCTGTGTCAAAGGGTTAAGCCTCTATGAATGTAAAAATTTGTTTTAATTTTAAAATATAAACTGCATTACAGTTGGCTCTATGACCAATATAGCTTGAAAAATTTGTTGTCAACTCAATTGTTTAATCTTTTTATTTCTCTCCATAGTTTGTATTTTGTAAAGAATGTATGCAAGGTTATCATGTTGGGCCTTGTGAACCTCCTGAAGGAATTTCAGTCAGTGATAGGGTAAAAATATTTAATTATTACTTTGACTATTTTTATGGTACAAAAATTAGTCTCATTATATTTTTCTAAATTTTATTGATATTCAACTGGCTATAAATTTTACAGTATAATTATATATAATTTTTGTTATATAATTATATGTAGTTTTTGTTATATAATTGACAGTTAAACAAAGTTATATAAATCTAAATCTCCCTCAAATTATACATCAAGTCAAAAAAAAAATGAAAGAAATAAACTTGCAGACAAGAAGTAAAATTATTTATAATAGGTTTCCAGTTTTTATAAAAAATTTTATTTTATTAAATGTTTAAATGACTCAGATCCTAAAATCAGTCATCATATGCAATGTAATAGAACAATTAGTTTTGCTGTTACAGAAAAACCTAAAATCCACTATCAGCTTTCCACTATGTTCAAGCTTTACAACAACTTATACCAGGAAAAGAACCATTATTTTTGAAATTCTCATGTGATTTTCCTAAGTTTTTTAAAAATATCTTTCAAATTGATATATTTTTATTTCTTAGGAAATTATGTATATATTTTTGGAATAATAAAATTGGAATTAAAATTGAATATTACCTAATTGAAAAACCCTGTAATAGTATCATCCAGTGTAAGATTTTACATTCATCTCNCCATAATACATATACTCTCTTCTCTCTATATAGGCAAAGCATTTAGGTATTATATTTGAAATTAATTATTGCCACAACAAGCATTGTTGCTTCTAGTAAAATAGAAGAGAATAATTTTTAAAATTGGTCTTAGATTAAGGTCCTTGAAAATTTTGTTGAGGTCCTTGAAAAGTCCTGGAAAGTCCTTGAATTTCAATCTCATCATAGAGTGGGAACCCTGTAAAATCAGTCCTAAATCAGCCTAAAATCAGAACAACTTATTCCTGAATTTAGGAAAAGAACCATTATTTTTAAAATTTTCTTGTGATTTTACAAAGTTTTTTAAAAATATCTCTCAAATTCATATTATATTTTTTATTTCTTAGGAAATTATGTATATATTTTTGGAATAATAAAATTGGAATTAAAATTGAATATTACCTAATTGAAAAACCTTATAATAGTATCATCCAGTGTAAGATTTTACATTCATCTCTAATCTTGACATTTTTAGATGACAATTTAAATTACCTAATTTTTTTAATCACAAAATCTAATCAAACAAATGAAATAAAGTTGACTTAGGGAATATGGATAGCTGTCAAAAACCTAAAAAGTAGAGAATGTTTGCGTGTTTTATTTTCATTCACTGTAATACTAACGTTATGTTCAAGTTCCTTTATGACACTGCAATTTGCAGGAAATTTTTCACGCATGCACTGTTAAGTTAAAATAGCATTAACGTTATAGTTAGTGGAAACTTTAATGCTTTTCGAAATCTCTAATAAAAATCATAAAAAAGGAACTATTGCAATTAGTATATTATATATTGACACTGAATATAAATTAGTTTAATTATTATTGATGTACTTACATTAACCATACATTATACTTCTTAGTGACACTTTGTAGAGAATTTTTCATTGATGCACTGTGAAGTTCAACTAGTGTTAACATTAGAGTTAGGAGGAACTGTAATGCTTTGCAAAATATCTAATGAAGTTCACAAAAAAAGAACTTGTGCAATTTAATAGCATATTATGCAGTTACATTGAATATGAATCAGTTTTGTTAAAAATATAAATGTATCATTGTGTCATTAATGTGAACTAGTTTAAATTATTACAGTTAATATTTTATGTAATTAAAGAACTCTACTTCTAAAAAAATTATAACACGTAAACTAAAAATAATTTGTAAATATTTATGATATATTACCAACAAAATCTCAAACTGTTTTGCCACTTTATCTCATTTATTCTATACATTTTCGACAAAATCCTTTTTTATGTTTGAATATTAGCTTCACAATAAGTGGATGTCTCTTTTGTTTTCTAAATCATTCATATTAATCCTTAAATTTAAATTCTTTTTTAATAACTTATTTTATACATTCTATAAATGAGTAATTATTAATTCTTTTGTTACATATTTGTTTTCTTAAACAATTATTCTGAGAAAAGTTCCCACACAATTGCATGTTGGGTGTTTCATGAAAAAGTCTTGTTTTGCATTTATATTTCTTTTGTTCTATTCAATTTAATTTCCTATTACATTTCCCTGATTTTTATAAATATAATATAAGAAAGCAATTTGGCATGTTTCTTTTTCAGATAAACTATACAATAATAGACGAGAGAGCGTCTAGCTCAAAGTGGGATGAAGACAGTAAGAAAACAATTAAGGTCACTACAAAGCCATGTCCAAAATGTCGCACTCCCACTGAAAGAGATGGTATGTATGCTTTAAACTTACTTGCTATTATGTAAACCAAGGATTCTTAAACTTTTTTCGGCCTTTACCGAAAATCAGTAGCCACATTAGTTTCGCCACCCACTGATTTATTGTTAGATTACTGATGATTCTAAAACAAGGTGGCCACACAGCAGGGAAATTAGGGAGAACCGAAAAAGTCAGTGAATTTCATAAATTTGGAAATGTCACGGAGCTTAATTAAAATAACCAAACAGTCAGGAAAGAAGATAAAAATGTGTTAAATTGAAACAAAAATTTACGTGCTTTAAAGATAGCTGAAAAGATTCATTTTTTGAAATTAAAAATTGGAAATTTTTTTTTTTTCGAATTTAGAAAAAGTGGTGTTTGGTTTGAATATTTTGAAAGTAATGTTTTAGGGTATAAATCATTGTCTGCTTTGTGGAGAGGGTCTAATAATAGTTCAATAAGATTCCTGGGGAATTAAAATATGTTTGTGATTCATCCATTTCGTTGGAGTGTCCATAATGTGGGGTTTCCCTTTTAATATATTTATATTTAAACGCAAATATTAAGCTCAATCCTACAAACTGCAATTTTCCATGAACCGCACTAGCTTTTAGAGTATAAACTATTAAATTTTCAATTAATAAAATTCTATAACTAAGTAAGAACAATTAACTTTTTACATCATTTGTTTAATTATCTGCTAAGAGGTTAAAATTTCAAAAGCTAAGCAAACCCAAATTGATTAGTTTGTTTATAATTTGTTCTAATGATTAAATTGAATTGCTTCTGTAAATAATGAATACGTAAGTGCATGTTTTGTGTATTTAAGTATTTGTATCTAACAATTATTTTAAAGAATTTAAGATTGATCTGTCTCAGTCTAATATTGCCATATTTAGTTGGTAAGTTAAAAGAAAGGTGAAATAATCTATATCACTCAAAATTCCATAAAACAGAAGTCCATAACACAAACCTTAGGTTTTGAGGCTTGCGTTATAAATACACACAGTAAAAGTTCGTTATAATGATAATTCATAATAACAAATGGACTTGTCATTGTCATAAGCTTATCTTTATAAGCAAATACACAAAGTTAAATACTTGTATATTACTTTACCTTTTCTCTAATTTTACTTTACTTTTCTCTAATTTTGAAAAATGCATAAAATTTTCTTTCATAGGTGGCTGTATGCATATGGTTTGTACACGATCTCAATGCGGATATCATTGGTGTTGGGTTTGCCAAACAGAATGGACTCGTGAATGTATGGGCAATCATTGGTTTGGTTAATTACTCAAATGGACTGTATTTTTCCTTTTAAACAAGTGCCTATAGGAAGCAATTTTAAAATTGGTGGCCATATAATTTTTGTTAAGTTTTTGTATTTCATGTGAAATACAAGTAGTTTTTGAAAACTGTGATATCTTAAAATGCAAGATTTTATTTATTTTATTTCCTAGATGCATTGCTCAGTTTTTATGTATAAACTGTAATGAAACTGAATTTAAACAACCATCTCTTTATTTTGAAATCATTGATTTTATTTCAAAAATAAAAGATTTTTTTCTGATATAGTGGAATTCATAATTTAATTGGTGAAACTTTATTCTTAAACATTTATTTTTTTCAAAAAATCTGTTTATTTGCCTTTGCAAAAATGTGAACTTAAATTGGTAGGAATAAAGAAATATTATTTATTGATAATATGAACTAGTGCAATAAAAATAAAACTTTTTATAAAAATTTGTTTTTAAACTAACATTTTTTTTTTCAAATTGGACATTATTTGTTTAAAGCTGTAGGAACTGATAACAGTATTTTTTTTAAGAAAAGAAAATAATCACTTCTAAGAAAATCACTTCAAACCGTTTTTAACTTCATGTAACTTTTGAGGTTTTTATCACTAAGCCCACTTCTATATTTGTTTTTAATGATGGTTATATCTGAAAATAACTGCTCACATGGATAGCAAGCTAGGATTATATGCAAGCAATCTGTTGCACATTTTGATGTGTGGGATCAACAAAATTTGTAGGGCAATGGCAACAGTATAGCTAAGTTTTGACTACTATTAAACTACTCTAGAGCCACAAGTACTATGATTATACTTAGCTACTTGCATTTTGCAAGCCTCAGGTTACCAACCCTCCTCCCCTCCTGTTCTAGATGATCATGATCTATGGCCAAAAAATTCATGGAATATGGATTACTTCCAATTTATTATTATAAGCATCTATTGCTCCATAATTGAAAATCACAATAAAGTGCATTCATTAGGTTATAAGTATTTTTGTAAATTTATATTCAAAGGGTATAATTAATTATCATTCATATTTTTCTTGTTTGAGAACTTTATTCTCTCTCTTCATGAAACGTCAGATCCCTTTCGGCTTATGTTATATTTAAAACAAGTCGTATTCTCAGCCTACCTACTAGATTTTGTTTTTGTTTAAACTTCACAGTTATCTGAATGTATATTATTTGTTGCAAATATCCGGGGATCAAATATTTATTTTTCGAGAGCATTTGCCTTACAAAAGCCCTCTTATTTTACAGGTTTTAAAATGAATTTTTTTAAAATAATTATTATTAAATGTGATTAAACACCCTTCAATAATCTGATTTTGGTTCAAAAGTTTAATCAAGCAGCAGATCAACGGCTGTGACTATAAGAAGCACATAAGGGCAAACTGAATTTTGTGCAATAATTTAACAGGAAAGCAAAGCAATGAAAATGAAACATATATATTTTAAGAACGTCTTATCTATATGCACATATTTACAAGGAGCAACTAACTAATTGCCTCACCCAGTCAGGGAGAAAATATAATATTTACAAAAGGAGGTGGAAAAATTGTCCCATCAAAACAAAGCCACTACTTTTTAGTAAAAGTATCAACTGTATATAGCCCATATTATCAACTATAGCCTATATTATCAACTATGTTTATATATGATTTGGATTACACGATGTAACGTAACGTTTAATAATTCCCGGAGGGCTGTAGTATCAGTATTATCAAGGTTATCAGAGATGACAGCCTTCAAATTTCCCACTTATTGCAACTGCTCGCCATTTAAGTATATATGTAGTGCTAATGAGGATATCCCCTCACGTTTTCTTGTGAATGGCAGGCAATTCTGTTATATCTTCTTAAACCAAATTCATTCCTGTTAAGATTTTGTAACGTAAATCAGTTATCCTCTAGGCNAAAACATCATTTTTTTCTTGTTATTTAGCTTTTAAAAACAAAATATAATATAAATGTCTAATTTCTCTTATTTAATATTAGTTTTTACATATAATAAATATAAAAACATAATTAAAGTGTTCTGAAACTTAATATTTTTAAAAAAATCCTCCGAACGTGTTCGGATACCTTAAGCAAAAGAAAATAATTCCAGGTGATTAGAAACCAATAAAATCTTATATTTATTTTTATTTTAATATAGAGCCATTTTATACTGTATTTTATACAAACAGTGCTCTTTATAAAATTCATTGAAATAATTTTCTTTAAACCAATATCATAAGTCAAATGTTTAAATAATGTTGTTTGTTTGAAATTAGCACTATTATTTTAAGTCATTCAGTATTTGTAAATGAAAAATTGTCAATTTCTTGTTGCATATTCTATAGATGAAAAAAAAAACAAAAAAAACTAGATGCAATTCTTTAACGATTTCTAGATTAATTCTTTAATTTATAAGAAAAGTATTCTTTTTTTTTCTGTTAATTAATGGAAATTAGAATGAATTAAGAATTCCAATCTAACATGGTTTCTTAGTTTAGATAAGTTAATTGGTTTTGTTTTTACACCTGGGCAATTCCATGGTGTTGGAAAAAAATGAACATTAATTTCTTAGAAAAACTATCTTACAAAACAAAACTTTGCTGAGAAAAATAATTCGTTAGACAAAAGCTTTCAGAAAAGAGTGCAAGATAAAATCTCTAAATTATAACCAATTATTTTTTTGAGAATTTTATAAAGTTAAAAATACTAAAACATTTTGAATAATTTTGTTAAAAGAAAAAAATACCCCCCCCCCAATCAGCGGAACAAACTTCAACCATTTATGAATTCAGCCCACAGAATAAAAGAAGACTTAAATTTATTTTTAAAAGAAACGTTACTTTTATAAACAGAAGCAAATGTCCTAATCCTTTCTTATACTACATAGTCCCATAATCTCCAATGAGGTCAAAGATTTCTCCATTCATTTCCCAACATAAAAGAGTTTGAAATGGCATTCTAGTTTAGCTGAGTAATAATGAAGAGAATTTTAATGCAAGAAAAGTATTGCTGAGTTGAAGATATTTCAACTTTTTTACGATAAATTTATGTCTAAATAAAAGTGGATATAACGGATGGTAACATAATTTAAATTATAAGAAAAAGTCCAGCTTTTCTTTGAAATTCCCTGATTTTTCCTGGTTTTTATCCAAATTTCCCTGACTTTTCCAGGTTTTTTCCAGTATAAAAAAATTTCCTGATAATTCCAGGTGGGTGGTCAGGGTCACCCTGATAAATAGGTTGAAATTAAAATATCAGCTTTTAATACCTACAATTCTTATTAAATTAAAAATAAATAATTTAAATTGTATATGTTCTTATAACTTTTCCACTCATAAGAAAATCACTGTTCCGCAACAAAGTTATTTGCACAATGCAAAAGAACATGGAAGATAAAAATCTAGAAGAATTTGCCTGTCTTTGTTCTGTTCTTGACTGCAATGGAGGAGAAGTGGCAAATATTAAAACCAGAGTGCTCAAACATCTTTTAGTATTTATACAAATCCAAAATCAATACAAATCCAAAATAAATGTTTAAAAAAACAATAGTCAGAGCAATTTTATTACCTGGAACTGAGAAACAACGAGGACAGAGAAAAGTCAGGAATCCAAAAACTTGATGTTTTTCAGAATAACTCTCTCGGAAAAATTATAAAAATCTTTTAGCCTGTTGGAATTAGGAACAAAACAGTATTAGAAAAGCAAACCTAACTACAACAATAGAAAATGAAAACAATAAGTGATGGTGGTAATGGACGGGGCACATAGTGAGAATGCTGAGAGAAAAATTGAAGCATCCTTCTCTTTCCCTGGCCCCTGATGGTAAAAGAAAAAGGGGAAGACCAAGATCGACTTGGCAGTGACAGATGAAGGTAGGTTTTTGAAGAGAAAAGTTGAATGTATTGGAGGAAGCCAAAGACCGGGGAACGTGGAGAAGCAGACTGGATGCGTTATGCGCTAAATGGCGAGAAGCAGAGCCGAGGTGATTCAGGGGTTAGTATTTTTGCCTTCCAATGAGGTGACTTAGCTTCGAATCCCACTTGTGGCTGGTCGGTACGAATTTCGTACCCGGCTCGTGCCGACCACAGTGCTGACTTAAAATATCCTCAGTGGTAGATAGATCATGGGTTAGAATCTCCTTGCCGTTGGTTTCCCTCTTCATATAACGCAAATGCACGTTAGTTCCATGAAGACTAATTTGCCCTAATGCTTGATCCAGGAGTTCCCATGTCTTCTCGGTTGGGTTCAAAATTACAAGGTTACCGATCAGTCTCCGATCTAGTACCCCTAGAGGTATTGATTTTTCATGGGAACTTGAAAGACTTTCAATGTTCAATTTTCGTAGCCTTGTAATTTTGAACCCGATTCAGAAACTAGAGAACTTCAGGATCTAGTAATATACAAACTAAAATAGTGGCTGACTTTTCTATGGAAATCACCCGCATTTGCGGCACCCATGGTTAGCCCGACGATAAGAAGATAAGTAAGGATATTTTATGTGAGCTCAGTGATCAGTACGAGAATTCATATCTACCATGGTTACTTCATTAGGTGGCTCCCGAATATGTAAGTTATTAGAAAATAAAACTTCCAGGTCACATGATATATGTTGTATTCCAGCTTATTGAAAATGTCGTCGTCACTTCCCAACGAGTTAGGCTGACTGGAAAAGTCTCCATTATTTTCGAATCTGCTTGATATTTTTAGGCTTATTACAATCAGCCCATATGCTTTTAGGCTAATTGGAAAATGTGCGTACAATTACTCAATCAAACTTAATTTTGTTAGACATTTTGTACAAAATATTTTTAAAAAAGTCTATTTACAATGACCCTTAAGAACTCGGGTCTTATTGCAGAGCTGATTGTGCTCCGGAAAAAATCCGGATTTCCGGAATTTTTGCTAACAGTGATCCGGAAGTTTCCGGAGATCGAAGGTTCAGACGTTTCAAAAAATCATTGATCACAAAAGTTTCCGGAAATCGAATTTTTTTCCGGTGGAACTTAAAAACTAGGTTTATTTTATTTGTTTGTAAGGGAGAGCCAAAGAGATACTTTATAAGCTTATATTCATGATTAATATTCATTTTTTATCAGTAAATAGTTCTCATAATCATAAATTCAAGAAAGAAAGACATTTGTAAATTTTAATTACTTCTCCAGGTCATCATAGGTATGTGTAAAATGGTATAGGTATGTGTAAAATTTAAAATATATTTTAAGTAAACTAAGAAATATTGAGAAAAAGGAAAAAAACTTTGTTTAAATTTTTGTTCAATTTAAACTGTTTTTTTTCTTCTTTTTTTTAAAAAAAACTCTAGAATAATTTTCCGGAATTTTGACTTAGGCTCACAATCACCCCTGCTTATTGTTAATTGTTTGAATTAATCAAGCCGTGTAAAAATATTATTCCTTACACGGAATGATATTTTTTCTAATTAGCCTGAAGATATGTGGGCACATTGCAAAAAGCCTAAAAAGTGTCATACTGATAATTATAAAATGCTGGAGACTTGACGCGTTGCAAAATGTCGGTTGCTGTTTGCAAAGAGCTTGATTTTTCAGTTAGTTTACGAAGTATTCATATTTGCTGTAACATTGTCGTCATCGTCCCTAAATTTGACTCACTCTTTTTAGTAGGAAGGAAAAAAATTAAATGTACTTTTTTTTTATCATGATATTTCAATTCAGTAAAGGTAAATGGAGTTTAATTATATTAACAAGTTATGTAATAGTTATTCCAGTGTTATGTTTACAAAGTTTTTAACATTATTTATTTTTTAATTATAAATTTTTTATTATTATTATTTAATAACTGTTGCTTTTGAAATCAAAAGTGATTTTTAACGCAAAATAGTTCATCTAACATTCCACTTCAAAGGGGGTTAAAAACCTCCGAATTCATCCTTTTTTTTTAGCTTGTCTAAGCAATAATTTAAGTAATGTTATATAATTTGTTACACGTTAAGTATTTATTTAGATTCATTTCGTTAGCTAGTCTTAAGTTATAGTTCAAATAGTGTTGAATAATAGAAATGATTTAAAATAGTTAGTAACTAGTTAAAATAATTTTGTAATTTCATAGGAATTAAAACATAGTGACGAAGTAATTAAGGAGATTTGTTTTTGATCTTTTCTAAAATGACTGCAGAAATTTTAAACATAAACGGTGGTAGGATGCCCCATAGTGTTCTACCAATTATTGGCGACGGTTCTTTTTTCATATATGATAATTTTCATATATGATTTCATAAAATGAAAATCATTTTATAACTCCTGTTGCTTACTATGTTGAAATACTTATGCAGGGTTCGTACGCATCTGGAAAAAATTAACAACTTGCATCAGTTTTGTTACAAAGAAGTTGAGAATTTCTTGATATTAGATTTCACTATCAAAATAAAATTTCATACCTGGAAACTAATAAAGAGCTGAATCAGAGTACCTGGCCAATAAGGCCACCTCCGTAAATTAGGAATTAAATACTGAATAAATGTCTCAGTGATTAGAAATTAGTTAATTAGTTAAATTAGTAGTTACTATTTAATTAGAATGAGTGTAAGAAAATTTCATATCTGCTACCTTCGGATTTGTATTCATTTACTTAGAGGACATAAAATATTCTCTAATATACAAACGTGCATTAAAATTATATTACTATTACTGCTACTTTTCGACTTTTTCCACTTGCGCATGAACCCTGTAATTTGTGGAATTTAATGACTGCTGAAAATATTTTAAATTATAACGGAAATTCAATGCGTCGGAAACTTTGACAATACCGCGCGGACATCTCTCGAATAGTTAAAATTGAAATCAAGTATACTTTCAAGTGCTCAAAGCCGCGGGAAACATCTCGTTGATTAAAGGCGTATCACTGTAATAGTTTGTAAGATTTCACCGAATAAATATTTTTCCCCAATGACCGCATACGGAATAAACTTTCGTCATACAGGCATCTGAATGGCAGGTTTGTTGGCCACTTTTTCAGGGGCACCATATTAGTTTGGCCAACGTTTCTCCCACAATAAAGACAGATAGTACAGAGAGCGAAAGAACATCCATGCCTTGTTCGGGATTCGAACCCTGAACCTTTCTGGTGCAAGGCCAGTTCCTACACAGGCTTGTCGGATTTAACCGAATATTGGATTAACGCTACTGAATTTTGCAACCCTAACTTCATAATAGCCTACTTACCTACCAAACCCTTACTAATCGCATAATATTCAATTTATTAAAACGCGTAGCCTTTTGGCCAGCTTTTTTTCGATTCAGACTACCTTGCGCAGCTCCACCAAACGCTCTGAAGAGCGAAAGCAGCGGGTTCGAATCCTACCATAATTCTGGATGAATCTTTTTACTAACATTCAATTTATGGCATCCATTCTTCGATTTAAAAAGGGTTTATAACTCGTTCTTTGCATTGAGCCACAAATCACGCACATGTATATGAGTAATTAAATAAACATCCAGAGTTTTTTGAGGAATCGAACCAGCTTCTTCCACTCATTAGTGTGCTTTTCAAAAGGGCAATATTTCTTGTCACAGGAATTTCCAAAGGCCAAAGCAACATCTTAAAATGTTTTGAAGAAACTTGTATTCTTTTTAATTAGAGTCTCTCAGTAAGACATGGTTACAAGTAGATCATCGAAATCAAGCATCAGTGAGTAAGTGGATGACCATTTTGATCAGCCAACGAAGCGACCAAGTGTGCACGGTATCGGTCCTCGGTAAACTGTTCTACCTTTAAGTGCTCGATTTCACGCAGTTCGTTTGCCTATCATAGTGGACAAACCATCCTCTCTGCTGAGGATCGAAATAGTGGTGACATGTCTTCGGAACATCCTCAGTAATGTTCCCAGACATTCGCCAATATCCTATTGTGCAGCTTACTGCTTTTTAATTAGATTTATCGATACAGATTAATTATTTTAATCGATATGTTACACCCAATGGATAAAAGTTTGGCTAAGTTATCAGGATATGATTTCGGGATATGTTCACCTAGAAGCATAATTTGTATATTTTACGTTTTGCGGGTCTTCTTGTGAAAGTTGAGTTAAGGATAATTGTGGTAAGGTTTTAAAACTCATTTTTGATATAAGATTTCTTTTGTGTTTCAAATTATCCTTTTTTATGGTATAATATATTTGTGTTTGAAACTAATTAGAACTATTGACTTGGCAGAGGACATATTCCAGCGTTTAATCAAGAGAGCTTTTTTGACTAACTTTTTTAAAACTTTATCTTGTTTAACTTAAAACTGCATAATTGTTTAACTCAAACTTTATTCTAAAGTAGGAAACTCTGATATTTTCATAAAGAATTTTTTTTTTTTAAAATTGCATCTGGTTTACGTTTAAGAATAAGAAACAGCATATAGTTACATGTTAGTGGTTAAGATGGCTAATACTTCTTTATTTTAAACGTTCTACATTTGCAATTTCACCAAATATGTTGCAGCAATTATTTTTTTTTTTATATAAAATATTTTTCTACAATAATTAACCTAAAATGTCATTATAAAAGTTACATTATAAAAGCAAGTTTCTTCAGGTTAATGTTACATTATAAAAGCAAATTTTTAATTTGAAAATTGCGAAAAATGCCTTTTTGTAGAGTTATTAAAAAAAATGTCAACCTATTTTAAAGTATTTCCTGAATAAAAGTGACAAATTGTAACAATGTTCATTCTACATGTTTAAAATTGGTGAAACAACCTTAAAGTTTCAAACTCTACAATTTTTAATCAAATTTTTTATTAAAAGTTCCAGTTTCATAAATTTACTTTAACATCAGCGTGACAAAATCTGCAAGGTATGAGTCGTTAATCGTTGTTAGGTACACACTAAGAAAAATGGTTTCAAAGTTCAATCATAATTTAATACCTTGAACCATAATGTCGTGAAAATTTGTAGCCTTGATGAGATGAATTGAACCATATTTTGGTTCAAGTTGAACCGCACACTGTTGGAAATTTCTCGGAAAAAATGGTTAAATAAAAATGTATTAAATTTTTATTTTAACATATTCAAATGAAAGAGTTGAAAAAAAGAAAAGAATATATGATGGCAATCAAACTGTTAACTGTGAGAAAAATCGTTTATTAACTGCTTTCACCTAATACGATTAAACAACCCGAATTTTATCGCATCAACTAGGCCCACCTAATGAAACCACTCAGTTTCTTGCAACTGCGTACATATTATAGGCAAGGGGGTTAATCTGTCAGTCTCATGTCCCTCACAATTGGGGTTTGAGTCCCCGCGTCGAAACCACAATATTTCCTCCATTCTCTTCAACACATGAACAGTTTTCAGTGTTCTGCATTCTCTAATGCCCATTACCTTACGAAAAGCCTATCTCCTATGCTCAGTTAAATTTCTTTTTACAGTTCTAAAAACCATGTTAGTTGTAAATGATTAAAAAACCGCGTAGTTTTGTATTCATGGTTTTATAACCAAACGAGTTGTAAACTGTATCAAAACAGCAATGTTCTTTACCGTGAACTTTACGGTTAATCGGAAGGACAGACTGCTGCCGGTTATTTTACCGTAATTTTAGAATGAAAATTCTAACAGTGAGGCATGGTGCAATCAATTTTATGCACGGTAATATGAATACCTACTTAGATTAAAGGCACAAGTGGAAAAATAAAATTCTGTGTTTCAGAAAGAACGAGCTTTCCTTTATCTGACTAACATCAACTACCTGACATTTTTAACTATCTTATTTATATAGTACTATCTTATAAATGGTATACCTTATAGCTATACCTTATATATAGCTTATATATACCTTATAAATAGTATACCTTATAAATAGTATACCTTATAAATAGTATACCTTATATAGTTTCTAAAAAATACCATTTCTTTAAGGAATTAACATAGAAAACTTTAGATCATGTTGAAATAGGACATTTTATTACAAAGTTGAACTTTAATTACGGGTTTTATAAATGAGAAAACTCATATTAAGTTAAGTTTTTTTTTCTCTAATTCGTTCTTTAACACTAGAAAGACTGAAATACCTATATTGCCCAAAAGCAGTCAAAATGACTACATTGTGAAAGATTAACTAATGTGTAAAGAAATTTGTTTAAAATTAATTTTTGAAATTTTTATATTATTTTGAGTCGTGTAACAAGTTATTAGTAAATATCAACAATAAAAATAATTATAAAAGTCACAAAATTCTAAGAAATTGTGTCATTATATACATCATTGTTTTTCTAATTGAAATTAAAAAGCAGTCAGTGACTTCTTTGGGCAATCTAGTGTTAAGTTGTTAAACTTTCATTCCAAACGAATGGCATTAAAGTTAAACGTTTTGATGTCTAGAGTTGGGATACCTGATTTAAAAAATACCAAATAGAACCAAACCTAGAGTGAAATTTTTATTTTTTATCTACCTTGATCCCTTATATAAATCCCGAATATCAAGACCAAACTTTTGTCATAAAATGTAAACTTTACTTTCACTGAGCGGCTGCATTATGTTTAAATCGATGGAACTTTTATGTCCAGATTTATGCCAAGCCTCATCGCTTTTCTTAGGCGATTAAATCTTTATTTTCTCGCCTAAGGCGAATATAATGTCCCATCTCTGCTGCATAAATCCATAACTTTCAACGCTAGTGAAAAAACTTGAGAAAAATATGACGAGATTGAAGTGGGATAAAACTTTCATTGTTAAAAAAGTTTAACATTTAGTTTACTCCGAACACATAACGTTGAGAAGTCTTAAGTTGATATTTCGATAATAAAATATTGCAATAAAATTACATAAAAATTAGTATTTCCATTAAACACTAACTTTAGTTTTTTTTTGTTTGTTTTTTTAAATTTGAAAGTTGTTAAATGGTTTATAGTTGTGCATAGCTTAATACTTATTTTTCGTTCGGAGGGAAAAATTTATGATCAATAAATCAATATTGATCAACAGTACGAAATCATGCACAAATTTCAGTCACAAACTAAAACAATTGTATTTTTTTATTGTTTGTTGCCCTTCCTTACTGAGCATTGTTATCAGATTAAGCGAAACATGTTTTTAGAAGTTCGTCCTTTCAAAATAACGCTCATAATTTTAGTTTCGTGTAATTTATATATGCTATTTTATAACCGTCCTTGAGCAGCTGACCCAATTGTGAGTTTACGACTACCAATGTTAACTCCGTAACCATGTAATTTTCAACCCAATCCAGAAGACCAGGGAACTCCTGGATCAAGTATTGCGAGAAATTTGCCTTCGCGGAGGACTTTTGGTGGAACTAACCCGCATTTGCGTTGCACGGAGAGGAAAACCACGAAAATTTCCTACGGGTAGCATGACGGCAAGGGGACTCCAACACATGATACTTCTGCCACTGAGGATATTTAAAGTCAGCACTGTAGTCTGTGCGAGGCGGGGGCGGAATTCGTATAGATCAGCTCTGGGATCGATCCCGGGTCACCTCATTGGAAGGTGAGCTCTCTATACCCTGAGCCGCTAGAGCTCTTATCAATGCTATTGCACGAAAAAGACAAACTTCGTCACCAATAATTAGTCTGACAGCATGTGGCACCATAACACAGTTTATGTTTAAAATTTTCTACGGCCATTTTAGAAAAGAACAAAAAGAAATCTAAATTACTTCGTAGCTAATTTTTTATTTTAGTAAAAATACAAAAAGTATAACTAACTATTCAATACTACTTAAACTATCACTCTTAAATGGTAGTTTATAATGAAATCTCAATAATTAATGCATAACTAATTAACACTACTTAAATTATTACTTAAGACAACTTTAACAAAATTAATAACTATAATGTTGCCAATAGACACATACCAGAGTTTATGGTGCCACAGAAGAGAAATATATGTATAAATTTATAATGGTTGAAATTGAATTATATTTATTGCACACTCCTCGTATAAATTGAGAATCTTTTTGAGCGATAAAAGTGGAAAAGGGTCGGGAAAGTACTTAACCTGTACTAGAAAAATAATTAAATACCAGTAAACGCACAAAAGCAATTAATAGAATAAAAAAAACCAAATTCTGGGAACTGAGTTTTTCAAATGCACTGAAGACAAAATTTAATTTTTGTCAAACCTAAAAGGAACAAAAATTAGGTCTCATCACTTTTGAAAGACAGGGAGGGAGAAATTTTTTGCACGGTTATAGAAGTATATTCCGAAGGTGATATACCCTTAATTTGTTTCGTTTGGGTCTGGCATTTTCTTTTCTCAATATACTTAAGAAGCGTAGATTAACTTTAGTTAAAACGTAGTTAAACTTTTTTTATTTTCAGTTTATAGCGGAAACTGGTCAAAATTTTGGTCGGTGAATGCTTTGCTGGCACTATTTGAAAAACAATAGTAAAACTCTTCAAGTTAGCGCACTCTAATCTGTTAAAAATTGTTTAATTTCCGTTTTATTGCTAAACTGAATTTATTGTCAAATTCTGTGTCCCAGGAAACTATAGAAAATCGCATTGTCATGGAACTTAAAGTAAAGAACTGAAACCCCAGTTTTTTGGAAAGTGGTCAAAATTCCGACAGCAAGAAGACACGAAAGTGAGCTAATAAACACGAAGCAAAAAGAGAATAACTTTAATATTGTAATTTCACAAGAGTCATAAACCCATGTCATTGTGAGAATCAGTATTCAGAAGCAATTCTGATAAGTCACTTTCAGTTAGTGCGATATCTGGATGAGACTTTGACAACCATGATCACTTGTCACTATCTTTTATCACTGTATTTATCATGTTATAATTTTCTTTCGCTTCTACCGGATTTTTTTTCTTAATATAATAGTTTCGAATTTAGTTAATTTTTGTTAAAGTATTTATTTTGGCTTATACATTAATGAGCTTACAATTAATGGAAATATAAGTGAATAAACTGTAAAAATATCGGAGGGGGGATGGGGGACGAGATTTCGAGCCAGTTTTCTTTCGAACTTAAGAAGAATAAAACAGAAGACCTCGCCCATACTGGATGCGGTTGCCAATATCGGGTCCTTTAGCAGATTTTTTTTTGATCAATTCGCAATGAAAGTACCGAAGTTTCTAAAATCCATTGGCAGCAATGCCGAAAAGTTGTTATCCCTGCCTTAAAAAGTATGCAAAATATAGAAGTTTGAATTAATATCTGGCGTCTCAGTGGGTCAAAAGTTCAAATAGGACTATAAATACTTAAATTAAAAAAAGTAAATAAATTAGAAAACTGAATTTTGTTGATTGACTTGAGGTAGCGCTTAAAGTACCAAACCTTAACAGTATCTATGTAAAAGTTTTCAGAATTACGAATGAAAGTTCAAAATATGAAGAAATCGAACTCCTATATTGTGTCTGAAACCATAATTCCAAAACTAGTTACAGCTATTAGAATAATTTAAAAATTCTAAATTTTAAAGATTGTAATCAATAATTAAACTTTTCGGTGAAAATACAAAACAACGAGCGAAACTAATTAACTTTCAGTGAAATGCTGAACTTTGAAACTTACGCAAGGGGCAATGATTTTCCAAAATCTAATATTTGCAGATTCCTCTTCAACATTTGAAAATATTTGCATCTCTCAAATAGTTAAGGAATAGTTTTAATTCAGAACTATATTTAATTTTAAACACTGAATTGAAGTTATTCAAATGATAGAATTTCCCCCCCCCTAATAGTATGGAATTTGTCTTCGTTATCTTAGAAGATATTGTTTTAGTCTTAAATTAAATTACTTTGCATGGCACTTAAATTGAGTTGTCTTTCAGAAGCTCTGTTAGCGACATCTGTTGCATATTCGTAATTTTCTTTTTAGTAATAGCGGGAAGAAAAGATTTTATTTTGGGGCAATCGATGACATATTTTGTTTAAAATATGTCCTTGCTTTAATACGTCATTGATGAATAAGTTTCTTTCAAAATTGAACACTTTAAACTGACGAAAAGGGCTCAGGAGATAGAGCGTTCGCCTTCCAATGAGGGGAACCGGGTTCGAATCCCAGCGATGGTTGGTCGATATAAATTCCGCACCCAGCTCGTACCGACCACAGTACTGACGTAAAATATCCTCAGTTATAGACGGATCATGGGTTAGAGCTCCCTTGCAGTTGGGCTAACAGTGGAAGGATTTCGTGGTTTTCCTCTCCATGTAACTCAAATGCAGGTTAGTTCCATCAAAAAGTTCTCCACAAAGGTAAATTTCTCCCAATATTTGATTCAGGAGCTCCCTTGTCTTCTGGATTGGGTTCAAAATTACAAGGCTAAGGAGTTGAACATTAGTAGTCGTAAACCCGAAAATTGGGCCAGCTGTTCAAAGATTGTTATAAAGTAAAAATAGAATTTACGAAAAGCGTCATTGAGCTAAAACTTTTAAATTTTAAATCTAAGCTTATTGGGGGTGACCTATTTTTAATTAAAGTTTTTAATTTTTTTTAATAAACTTTAAATTTGTTAAAAAACATAAATATAAAACAAGTTTTAGATTTAAAATTAAAATTTTTTTCAGTCTAGCAATTGAGTACCTAATTTTATAATATAACTCAATGTTAAATTAACATATCTTAGATGGTTATATTGAACTAAGAAAAAAATACTGCACGAGTACAAGGTAAATAGAAAACTAACTATAAATATTGCTATTTTGCTAATTAGTGAATGAATTTTTTTTTTTCAGACTGGACAAATTAAGAAATCTTAAGATGATTCAAATGTTAAGCTAGTTTAGTGTGTATTTCAAAATTATCTAACTTCGATAACTTGACTATTTTTCTTATTAGTCACAATGTTTAAGGCATATATGCTTTCAAGTCTCTAACAAATTGGTAGGATAACTGTAATTTCTACGAAATTAATCACGACGTTCTCAATTCGACGACAAACAGCTCTCAATTGATTGTTTTAATCTTTGACTTATACGTTAATATTTGTAGCGTGAACAGATTTGTTCTTTCCGGAAAGAAAATTTCTGCATTGGCCTTCATTTATCTTTCGTAGCAAGATAGGTGACCCCAAGGTTTACTAGTAAACCAATAAATTTTCTCAGTTGTGTCGCTAAATAAGTGTTACATATAGGCCACAATGTTTCTCACCTAGTCTCATTAATATTAGCTTCAGCATTTTGGATAATTAATCGTAAAATAAGGGAATATTTTCAGTACAGCTTTGAGAAACTGTTTAAAATTGTAATATAATCTTAAACTGTTTGTTTTCATTCTCAGAGAAAAGACGAAATTTTAATTTTGAATTGTAAATTAAAAGGTACTTTTTATATACATAAATTTCGGACTAAAACAGCATTATTTTTCAAAAAAAAATTTCGACAAATAACTTCTTGGAAGAAACTTTTCGGCAATTTAAAATGCCATTCCTAATAGACAATTTTTTTGAAGAAATAATAATTTTACTTTAAAAACGGGGACATGAAATAAAACATTCAGTAAATTTCGATTTTGAAATTTCAATTTCCTTTTTATTTTTGGACCATACTTGAACCAGTCTAAAAAAATAAGATGGCTATAGAGAATTCACAGCCAGGGGCTGGACTATATCAATTGACTATCATTCAATCAATTGCCGTAATATAGTGGCTAAGGCAATCAGTTGTTTGTACTGTTTCACTTCAAAATGAAACTTTTTCAGATTGGTTGCTACCGGTAAAAACATTTAAGTGCCTTCACCATGGATATCTCTATAACAACAGGAGTTTAGTTTTATTTTACAACCGACGCTGAACAGCCGACCCAATTTCAGGTTTACTAATGTTCAACTCCTTAGCCTTGTAATTTTGAACCCAATCCAGAAGACAAGGGAACTCCTGGATTAAGTATCCAGAGAAATTTCCCTTCGTGGGAGATTTTTTTATTCCTGGGAATTTACATGGAGAGGAAAACCATGCGCGGTTAACCTGACAAGGGGACTCTAACCCATGACTACCACTGAGGCTATTTTACTTCAGCACTGTGGTCAGTGCGCGACGAGTGCGGAATTCGTGTATCAACCAGTCACAGGTGGGATTCGAACCTGAGTAACCTCATTGAAAGGCGATTGATCTATCCCCTTAATCCAGTTTTTGAATCGTAAAGCGCATCTGATCCAATAAGATTGATTAAAATATCATGGCTTTAGTAACCTAGATTCAATGCAAATCAGCATTGCCTTTCTTTATGCAATTCAGCCGTTAGTTTAGAAAGTATAAATTTTTAAAACACCATTAAATGTTTAGTGAATAGTACGAGTTTGACATGGAGAAAGTTTTCTTTAAGGTGTCTTGTGTTCTTATCCAACGCATGTTAAATTGTAAACTTGATATCATTTAAATAAACTATTGAATCTATTTCAGAAAGAACTTTTTACTTTTAAACATATTCTTAAAATATTTTTCACGATTTGAAAAAAAAATTTTGAAAATTTGACTTGTAAAACTGAATTTACGAAATTATTGTCGGAAAAGTGAATTTCAACTCAAATCATTCCAGTTCAGTTTTATGTTCCTCTTATTATAGTACACAATTTCTTCAAGTTTCGAAAATCGATTCAGTAGTTTTTTCTGAAAAACTAGTCTGGTGCACCAAAGATCATTAAGGTCTAAAATATTAGAGAATATTTCAGAATTAAAAGTGATTGCGTTTTTGTTTTAAAGTCAATTATTTTCTTACCACTGCAATACCTACTTTATTTGTACTTGTAATTTTTTAGACTGGTTAATATATTATAATAATTGTTTTTATAATTATATATTATATAAAAATGTAATTACTAATATAATTTTTATTGATAATATAATTTTTATTGATAATATAATTTTAATTGATAATATAATTTTAATTGATAATATAATTTTTATATATAATTCCTTATAATATTTATAGTTATATTATAATTATAATTTTATTTTAGATTCAAACATGAAGTGCACCGTAGTTTTCCTAGTACTTATGGGTCTACTAAGCCTGGTACTAAGCGAACCTGTGCTTGAGAATAACACCGATGCCCGGAACGATGATATGGATGAAGAGTTCTGGAATTTTACAAATTTTACAAGCAACTTCAGGAGCGTCTACAGCCGAGTTTACGAAAGAGCTGATCGCTATGATCTGGCATCATCTGTTCTCAGAGCTGTGTTCGAACACGCATTCAAAGTCTACACTGCGGCTTAGCATTTCTTAAGTTTACTTGAAGTTTTATGTGTTTAAGAGTTTAAGAGTTTTATGTGTTTAAGAGTTTTTAGGCCGTTAAAAATGGCATTCTTGAAGCTTTAAAATAATTTCAAATAAATTGGTATTGGTCTTTTATTTTGTTTATATTTATTTTAAAGAGTTCAGAATATAGAAACTATGCATAGGATAAAGCCATTGAATCTGTAATCAATCGTTCAACCATCGGAGAATAGCTTGATCGCGAGCGAAGTACGAGGGTTGCTATTTATATTTCTGGCCTAATAAGGAAAAAACNAGAAATATAAATAGCAACCCTCGTACTGCATGTAAAATTCTTTCAACTACGTTAAGTAATTTGAAATTACAGATAAAGAGTTGAGGTAAATCTGGAGTATATTGTTTAGTTTCAAGTGGCTGAACTTTTTTCTCTTCAAAATATCAAAATGAAGACTAATTATGGCAGGATTACGCAGAGGGGAAGAAATTTTGCAATAATTTGTATTTTGATACTTGGTAGAAAAAATTTCAGCACTTGGAACTTCATGGTTTACTCTAGGTTCACTTTAAGTTATTTTTATTTGAACTTTATGTTGTCGTGTCTATGCTAGTGCAAAGATTAGTCCTCCAAAAGTCTTGATAACAAGGTTTGCAAGTTCTGGAGCCCGATGGCCATGGAGAATTTCAATGGGAGGTGCTCCAAGTTGAAAGAGGGAGCCGATAATGGCCTGGCAGTCAAAAACATGGTCTGGATTTGAACTTTATACCATAGGTGAATAAGAAGCGTCCTCTTAACCAAGCAACTTATCAGATTTAACCTTTATATCAACTGTATTGCCACAATCTGATGGAACCCAGTCTATATTTCCGCCTTTTTTTTAAAATTTACCTCAACTGTTCCCTTTTTGTTTAATATTGTTTAGGTTTCAATGCAATAATCTAAAGTTTTTATTGCTTTGTGAAAGAATAATGAAGAATACGCAAGATGGAGATACTCAGTTATGCACAATATGCTTTTTAACTCGTCGTTAAACAAAGATATTAATTGCATGTCCATACTTGCTACTGTAACTCCTTAAAGCCCTGGATCAAATAAATATGCGTGATCACGCGATTTTTCCTTCACGGCCCTCGGTATCATATGAGAAACTAGTCTTTCTGACCCTGGATCACATGGACGTGACCTTTTGATACACGTTATAAATCTTGTATTAGTATACGTACTCATTAGTACACATAAACTCAGAGCTTGCAGAGTGGAGAAGTGCGTATCTCCTTGAGTTAGCTTTTCTTTACAAAAAACTCTAAAGAATATCGTAAAATCCTTCAATTGTTTTGAAATTTTTTTCCTACTGAAGAGCTGAAAGGTTCACGTTTAGTTTCTAAGTGATATTTTAGTAAATTTAACAATTTCCTGCCAAGGAGGTAAAAATGCCAAACATTTTGTAGTTGAGGGGGAAAAAGTAATTTCTACCTTTTGTAAAAGAAAAAATTAAATTTCTGCTTAAAGTATTTTTTGTCATTAGCCAACAACTTTAGTTATAAAAAGTATTATTCGAATTATTTCAGATTCGAGAAATTGATATAAATACTAAGGTTTACTAAAGCGTCCAAACTTTGCAAAGTAAATTCTTAGAATGAAGTAAATTTTCACTTTTTCTTTTTGAAAAAAAAATTCTCTAAAGAGGAACTATGGGTCCCTATGAGTTAAATTATAGAAATTTTACTTTGCTCTTGCTTGTTTTCAAACACTTCATATGATATCAGAATTTAGTTACACGTTCATTACTCAAATTAGCTTTTTCGATATCTTTTTAAATTATTTATATGCAAAAGAGAAAAATTCTTTAAGCTTTGATTTATTAAAATATTACCTTTTATTACCACTGAAAACAATATTTTCAGAAACTACGGACAGAAATTAACCTGAATGAGGATTTGAACCTGGGTCAGCTCATTGGGAGGCGAGCATTCTCTCTGAGCTACCGGAACTCTAGTGTCGCAGTATCTTATTTTATAACCGGTGTTGAACAACCGTCCCAATTCTGAGTTTACAATTATCACTGTTAAACTACGTAGCCTTGTAATTTTTAACCCAACCCTGAAGACAGGAGAACTGGATCATTCGCACAAATTAGTCCTCGTGGGGGTTCCGCATTTGTGTTACATTGAGAAAAAAACTACGTAACCTCCCACCGTTAGCCAGATGGAAATCTGATTCCATTTTACTTCAAATCTGGGGACATTTTACGTCAGCTCTGGTAAATGGGCCCGGGAGCAGAATTCGTATCAACCAGCCATGGCTGGTATCCCCAACCTGGATCACCCCAATGCTCTATCCCCTGATCCACCGTGGCTTTTAGTCTCAAAGTGTGAAGAACTGTTTTTATCTTAAAAGTCTTATTGAAATAATATTGAAGGGTAAAATAGTTTAAAATGATAGTGGCCCAACCGTATAAAATTGTCTGGTAACCTAATGTACCAAAAAAATCAAGGTTAAAAAATTAAATCTAGGGAAATATCTCACAATCAAATAGTTGCTTTATGTGATGCTCACAACTATATAATACCAGAAAAATAAGAGAAAGTATAGAAAATAATCGCAAAATGATTTGAAAAAAATATAGTACGTTAAGCAAAACTGTATGGAAAAAAAAAACTCGAATTTAAACTGACTGTTTTAATGTGTTTATGATTAAAATGAAAAAAAAAAAGTTTTGTCAGCAAAACAGTTATAATCCGTCAAATATACAGAGAAAATTTATAAAAAGAACGAGAATTTTTTATCTTTCGTAAATGTGGGATAAGAACAGGAAATTTTTTTCTTTTTTTCTTTAGTGTTTTTCTATGAAAAACATGTTTTTCTTCTGTAGAATTTACAGTTATTTTTTACGGTGTAAGATTATAACTTACTGATATGAGGACAATAAAAGAATCATTGAAACATTATGGTAACCCTATTTTAAGTTAATATTATTTTGCCATAAATGAATAAGGGGGATATTTTTGTATTGTGATCTGTCGCGCAAACTACAATTGCCAAGGTGTCAAATAGATTTTAAACTTGCAATTGCTTTTTTCATAAAAAAAAAAACATGTATATGTTTGCGAGTCATACCTTACGAGTTGGTCCCTTTCTGAGATGTTTTTTTTAAGTTTCTCTCGGACCTCTGCCCGGAAGTTGTCAGGACTTGGCGATTATTCTGCCACAGATCACGATACGGAAATCTCCCCCTTGTGGGGGGGGGTTGATCTCTAAAAATGTCTTTATACTATAAGTGTTGGAAAACAAATTCTGGGAAAATAATGTTTAAATTTTAGACTGGCTAGTCATGCCTTGTTTTAAACTATTTATCATATCAACTCGAAATTGGCTCAGGCGATTCAACGTAAAAATTTCTCATACAAAAATTTAAACATCGATTAAAAAAAGGTTTAAAAACATTAATCAGATAGGAATTATTTAGTGAAGGAAATAAAATTTAGTCCAAACTTCCATTATTATTTACAAATATACGAGAAATATAATTAAAATGATTCGGAGCAATTATCATAAAATAATTTTAATCTTTATATCACAATAAAAGCTATCTTTTTAAGCACTTACACAATGTTTGATGCCAAAAGATCATAATGACCTTGGTATTCTTTGCCGCAATTAAAGTACCAACAAAACATTTATTTTCTGTTACAGAATCCATTTAATGGCAGTTCTAAGTTAACGTAATTTAATCGAACCAATTGTTTTATAGAAATAAATGCCGCAGTAGTTAATTTACTCAATTCACTGCCTTAGGGATCTCTTTCTTTAAACTACACCGTCAGGAATAATGCTTTCGAACATAATTTGGAGAAATCGCTCTGTTGTACGTTCTCTTCTACTTTAACGACATTTTATAAAAAGTAGTAAGAACGTTTGTAATTACTTACGAATGAAGAATCAATTATTTTCATAAAATAATTTGAATTTATAGCTTATTATATATTTCATTTGAATTTACATAATTTTGAAAATATAAACACTCGCACTTACATGTAATTGGGATAAAACATTCTGCATATTTGCAATTTTATATTAAAATTGAAAATTTATTAGTTTTTAGCTTTTAGTGGGTATGCTCGTTTTTTTTAAAGTATAGGAAGGATGTCAAGCTGTATGTGTAACATTAAAATTTCTTTTCTATTACTTTGTAGTATCTTTAAGCATATTTATCTTTACCGTCCAGCGTTGGACTGATCGTTGAGACACTGTTCCCAGCAGATCACCGAAGTTAAGCATCACTGGCAGCTGTCAGTGTGCGGGTGGGTGACCACTTGAATCAGTCTGCGTAGGGACTGAGGGTTTCAAATTTTGAAATTTTATTAACATAAATCCCTTTTAGAATTTAAAAGAAATAAGTGATTTTAATAAGAATTTGAAATTATTTTCAAGTGCCATATGCAGCCTAAAGTTATGCTATAACATTCGCTTGTTATTTATTATAAATCGCGTGTACAAATAGAATTTGATTAATATTTCGTTTACAAAAATATTAACATAATAAGTTGTGAAAGCGGAAGTTTCAAAAATAATGTACGTTAAAACGATAATGATAATGAGAAATTCCAAAGTTTCGCTTTTGATAAATTTAATAAAGAGGAAACGATAAATTCAAAAAGATAAGTTGCAAATTCAATAAAAAAGCGATAATTCCTCACAAATCTAAGAGCTCAAGCGTTTTCGGTAAGTTTAATTTTTTCTTTATTCTTTCTTCCAAATTTACAAAATTTATATGATTAAATAATGAGCACATTTTGAAATTTAACAATTTTGATGTTATTTATTTTTAAGTAGTTCTATATTTAATAATGACAAATTTCTACATTTTATGATGACTTTGTCAACGTGGCAGGGAAGTCAAAAATATTTATAAATTTTGCTAGAGAAATGAAATAAGACATTAATTTTCACCATAATAAATTACTAATAAATTACGCGAATTTTTTATCTCAAATTAAGCGACTGGTTGATATTTAATTAATCAAGTGGTAGGGAACATTCGAAAATATCATATGAATCTCAGCATAAATGCCTTGTCACTTTTTTCATAAAAAAGATTTTTATATTATTTTATAATATAGCATTTTTGTAAATTTCA